GCGCTCCGGTAGTTTCAACTCCCAGCAGCTGGGAGTTGGAAAACTGGAATTCACGTTACTGTCGCTGTGAGAAGCCTTATTGAGTGCGCGGCGCGGCACAGTAACGCATCGCGCTACAAGATACAATGTTATGTGTGGTATTCCATCTTAAGCTAATCCCAATGTTGCTCTAACCAGAACCCTTGCACTTGCAGTAGCGCGCGCTCGAGCCGTGGTGCGATAGCACATGGTTACTGGTTACATTTGTCATACGTTGTATGACCCGCCGCGCACGAGTGCGCAGCTCCCCTGTATCGTCAGGACCATAGTGAAACGACCGTGGGGGTTGCAACGTGATACAAGGTTACATTAGGTGAAATCCCAATCACCAATACACAATACAGTGGTGCAAAACACAAAAGCATTCACCTAACCACATTAAGCACATGGTTTTACCTAACCATGTGCTTTCGCGCCACTTCGTTGCTCTAACCAGAGCCCTCTCGCTTGCAGTAGCGCGCGACCGCCGTCGCGGCAAAAGATCCTACTTGTGAAACAAGCGCGTCACGCAGTACGCGTAGGCACGTGGCTATGTGAAGCCACTTCGGGCGCGCTTGTTTCACAAGTCAAGAAACCGCCGTGAGGCGGGCGCGCGCTACTGCAAGCGCAAGGGCTCTGGATAGAGCAAGCACATGGTTATTAGTAGGTAGTGCGCCATCGACAGTGAGCCGCGCGTGCCGACTGTAGGATGGTTTTTTAGCGCTAATTTCGGCCAGCACAATTTTCTTCAAACAAATAGATATTAAGTATCCTCCCCGACCTCTGATTGCAACAAAAATTGGTAAGCTTACTCATAGACTTACAAGGAAAGTGTCCGAAAAGTTTAAAGCATATCCAACTTAATTGACGATGTCAATTCATGGCAGCTCGGCGCGGCACAGTAGCGCATGTCGCTGTGAGAAGCCTTATTGAGTGCGCGGCGCGGCACAGTAACGCATCGCGCTACAAATCCAACCATCAGACATTATGTTACAGCTAAAAGCAGCGTATTTTGCCCCATTTTGATCACTATATCAACCCCGATATCCATTGTATCACGTTGCGACCCCCACGGTCGTTTCACTATCGTCCTGACGATACAGGGGGAGCCGCGCACTTCGTGCGCGGCGGGTCATACAACGTATGACAAGATATCCACCAAATTTTTCGGACAGTTGTGAAAGCCCTATTGGAAGGTCGTCGCCAATTTTCAGAATGATCTCATTCAAGGAACTGAAGATATATCCAAATAATACGACAAAAATCAACGAATTTGGTCAAATTTGGTCAAATTACGCGACTTTTACAGCTAATTTTGTTCCAAAAGTTGTAGCGCGATGCGTTACTGTGCCGCGCCGCGCACTCAATAAGGCTTCTCACAGCGACAGCGACTACTGTGCCGCGCCGAGCTGCCATGAATTGACATCGTCAATTAACGCACCATCAAATATGGCACCTAGGCAAAACTCACTGATCTTTTCAAAAAGGTATGACAAATTTGGTACTGTGAAAATTCTCACAGTCTCTAGAAAACAATGGTACAAAAATTTTTAAAATCCGAGCAAGTTTATTTTTATGGTGCACCCCTATTATTAGTTGTAGCGCGATGCACTACTGGGCCGCGTCGCGCATCAAATAATTCTTCTCTCTTCGGTAGATCGGCGAAATGCACCATTGGGCCTCGCCGAGCTGCGAAGGATTGACATTGTGAATCAAGGTTATTAGGTGAACCCAATTTTTATTTTTCATCATAATATTAACTCCAATATTGTATGTTGTAAATATCAACCAAGTTTCTCCAATAAACGTTTTTAAACATTAAAGTTTAATTAAAAGAGCTATAATGTTTACTGACGATATGACGGAATACATAATATAATACAACAAAATCAATTATCCAATGTTAATGGACTTGACGGATGTTACTCGTTTAAATTTTTTCGAAGTAGCGCGCGCCGCTTTCTTCTCGATGGCAAGTGTTACGAAGTAGCGCGCGCCGGGCCAGATCATTAACAATAGTCAATAATGGACTAGCCCGGCGCGCGCTACTTCGTAGCACTTGCATTGGGCCATTTCAAGAAAAAGTTGACATACGTTCAACGTTGCATGCCACGTTTCGCGCGCGAAGCGCGCGCCGCCGAAGGCGCAACATATATCAAAAAGAAATTAGAAAGCGGCGCGCTACTTCGAAGAAATTTAAACGAGTAATATCAAATATAACATCCGTCAACAGTCAACAAAATCTACTGCCAATGAATTTCGTCAAATTACGCGACTTTTACATTTTCTTGTTAACTGTTGATTGACGATATCAATCTTTCGTCATTCGCAGCTCGGTGCAGCCCTGCGCCTATAGTGGTGCACTGCACCGTTCTAAAGAAGTGGTTGCAAGAAACATTATTTGATTTGTGGCGAGGCCCAGTCTAATAGTAAATTGCGCCACAGTTGACAATTTGCAATTGTTATTGTAGCTCCAAAATGCAAAATACGCGCGTCATTAAATATGGCACCAAGGCAAAACTCACTAATCATTCCAATGAGGGATGACAAATTTGGTATTGTGAAAAACTCATGACATTCTCAAAAAACAAAACAATGGTCAATGATTTAATTTTATTGTGCACTTCCTATTGGATTGATACACGCTGTAAAAATGTTCTCAGGAAAGAATAGCCTGCAGCTGCAGCGCGCGAAAAGGTATACAACTTGTATTACCACATACTAGGTGTGCCTGTCTCTATGTGCGGTGGTCTTTTCGAGATCCTGCATACGTGAGAGAAGCGATCAATATAATATAATAAAATACAAGGTCATTCAAACAATACACACATTCAATTAAATCAAGTGTTGCAATTGGCAATGCACAATACATTACAACAAATATTTTAAACTTTAATAATCATATATATATATATGCAGTGTGTATATATATGCAGTGTGTATATATACACACTGCACAAGTTGCAAAACACACGATCTACTTCCATTACAGGGGCAGGGATGAGGTCGTGTGAGACTTATGATAGATGGGCCTGATGTTTAGTTTCCACCTTCTTTCTTCGGAACCTTCGTAGAGCAACAAGAGCTGTTCTCAGCATTACTAATCTTATCCTCGTTCTCACATGCCTTACTACATCACAGTATCTCTCCTTCCTTTTTCTTGCTATGAGGTCTGCTACTCTGTTGACGAACTGCTTACACTCTTTAGACATTTCTCCGGATGTGAGGAATACAGCCGGGGTGAAGGTAGCCTTCTCCATTCTCCACATCCAACACTCTCTCCAAGTACTCATCCATCTTCTCGTTCTCATTCATTTCGTAAATTTCTTGAAGATCAATAGACTAGCAAGCTAGGTCTGTGTAATAGTCTAATAGTATCCTCGGTTGACTAAATAGTAGTACTATATTTACCTATAGAATTTTGATTCTGATAATTGTTATTTTCACTTAGTTAACAAACGTATCGCTAGCATTTGAATTTCACCCTGGTGTATTTGTATAAAAAGGTGCCTTACAAGATTGGGGATATTTTTTCAGGGCCTTTTGTAAGGAATACAAATTTAAGGAATACAGATTATACATATCATAGATAACCATAGATGCTGCACATCGGCTGATTTACCCTCAATCACTGTTTCCTGATCATTCATTTGATCATTCATTTGTTAAGTCAGCTGTTGTAGTAATTAAGGAAACACATTTTAATTGTAAAGATATTCTAAATACTCAATGATATAAATAAGGTGCTTTCAGAAACCTGCTTGTTTTAGAGTTTTGCCCCACAGTATTGTGGCACCTTTGATTTAGTCTTATCAAGCTTCTACTTCAGTTTATCAATTTTACTAATAGAGGAGCTTTAAGTCAAATTATATCAGTAAGTTGCATTACAGGTACAGTTTAAATAATGTTGATTTATTATTTAAAACCATTTTTATTAAACATTTTTAGTGTGATCAACTCTTTTGGTAAATTCCGAAGGGTTGTAAAAATGTTAAACTTCTTATATCGGGCTGCCTAAACCTTGAACTAATGAGGAGTTTTAAAGGGGTTCTTGAAGAAACACAGCACCCCCAAGGGAACCTCTCTGCCACTCGTACTTTTGTGCGCCAACAATAAATTCAATTAAACCAAGTGGTGCAATTGACAGAGCACAATAAAATTAAGTTTTGCAAACTGGCAGAGCACTATACATTGCCACCAATATTTTAAAACTGTAACAATCAAATATAATACACACAAGTTTCAAAACAAATGATCTACTCCATTATAGGGGCAGGGATGAGGTTACATGTGAGACTTCTGATAGAGGGGTCTCATGTTTGGTTTCCACCTTCTTTCCTCTGTACCCTCTTAGAGCAACAAGGGTTGTTCTCAACATTGCAAATTTTATCCTCATTCTCACTACATCACAGTATCTCTCCTTCCTTTTTTCTTGCTATGAGGTCTGCTACTCTGTTAACGAACTGCTTGTAACACTCTTTAGACATTCCTCCAGATGTGAGGAATACTGCCGAGGTGAAGGTAGCCTTCTCCACATTCAACACTCTAACAACACCTATACTAAGCAAAAATTGTACAAAATATCTTAGGGTGAAATAATAAAATAAAACAAAGAGTTAATTAAACAATCGGGAGAGCTCAACTTTGGATCATTCAAGAGTGCTTTAGAAGAGCTTTCAGTTGACATATGTGCGTCAAACATCTCTTTCTTTAATAACTGTGTGTAACTGTCGCGTGTGTTGTGTGTCCGTTCCTTAACCCTTCGTTAAGTAACCATTGTGTGCTAACTGTGCATTACCAATGTGTTAAGTGTGCGTTTTATGTCCATCGACAAATTACTGATCTACCATCAAGTTAATGTTTATATTATATGTTTTTATTATCACTATAGTGTAAAAATATAAATATTAGTTGCACTAATAGATATTGCTATCATGTAAATTTAAAATCCGATCAGAATTTTGTTGAAATGATGTTTAAATTAAATTGTATGTAGTGATGGAAGGAAGGAGACTGCAGAACTACAAAAACAAGGGCAATACTACAGATGAGCTGCGGAAGCGCAGAGAAGAGGAGGGGGTCCAGATCAGGAAAAACAAGCGCAATGAGATGCTGCAAAAGAGGCGGCTTTGTGCGGACCCTCCTGCCCAGCAAACTCCTCCCACTTCAAATTTAGTGAGTACATCCATTAGCATTTTTCACTGTACAAAAAACAACATCTACTTCTACAGTCTACACTCACTTTAGTCTTGAGATCGAAAAGTTTTGTAACAATCCTAATAAACATCACACATATTATATAATATGAATGGAAATACCATGAAATCCTAATTTTACAACTATCTTGTTTTAGTGCCACAGTTGATTGTGCAGTGTAACAAGCTGACTTTGTAAAGCATGTGTATAAGTTTATAATAACACTTTGCTATAAAATCGTATTTCAGGATTTTTCAGAGATGGTACAACAAATTATGAGCAATGATCCAGGGTTACAGCTCGTCGCGACTACTAAGTTTAGAAAGATTCTAAGTAAAGGTCGGTACTCTGTAAATTATAAGTTTGTACATTTGTTAAGTTGAAGGGTGTGGTAAATTTTAGCACTTCCGTTATACTTCTTATACAATGATTATAATTTGCAATTTTTCTCGATAACAGCTGAAAATGATAATTTCTGAAATATTATGTTCATATTTAATTGTTTAAAGCATCCCCGCATCTAATTAAAAAAAAGAGTTACATAAGATACAATATAAATGTGCCGTGCATAACATAATGTGAGTTGCATTATACTTGTATTCAACGTATCCCACCTTTCAGCACTACACACAATTGATTTTAACAACTACTTTCCTCAGAAAAAAGTCCACCAATTGAAGAAGTTATAAGAACGGGGGTGGTTCCGATTTTAAAAGACTTTTTAATGTGCGAAAACAACATGACACTACAGTTTGAAGCAGCATGGGCCTTGACGAACATAGCCTCTGGTAGTTCCCACCAAACAAGGACTGTCATAGACTGCGGTGCTGTCCCTATATTTATTCGCTTGTTGGAATCTCCTTACGAGGATGTCAAGGAGCAGGCCATCTGGGCGCTGGGTAACATAGCTGGAGATAACCCCGAGTGCCGTGATATCGTTATAGACGCTGGTATTGTTGATCCGCTTCTTAACATTCTGAAAACTGCGCAGAAGTTGTCAATGTTGCGGAATGCTACCTGGACCATGTCTAATTTGTGCAGAGGGAAGAATCCATCACCTAATTTTCCAAAGGTTTTCTATTTTAGGATAATAGTAATACCTAAACTTGTTGAACATGGTCATGTGTTATATTTTTATTTTTTAAACCTTCAAATTAAAAAATTATGTCATGATATAATACAGGGTTGCTGATATCAGAATTACCCTGTAAACCGCAATTTGTAACGTCATTGTAGAGTAGTAAAATGTGCAAGATATAGGAAGAGGCAGGAAGTATGATAATATGTAATGGACGGTCTATATTGCGACATTGCGAGATAGTCCAGTATGTTGGACAGTGCAAAGGAAGAAAACATAATTTTTAAATTGTACTACACACCAGAGAGTAATTCGATAAGCGGTGCAAGTTGCACTGCAATTACAAATCCAAATATTTGCAATTTAAATATTTAGGAAATTGTTTATGTCCGTTATTAACCGGGTGATGATTAATCACTCTACCCTCGACTATCACGTGACTTACATAAGGCTCGAGGAGGGAGGGTAAACATACATTTTCCAGTTTTCACGTTCTTTAGATGGTCTTATTGGTCCTGAGGGACAATTCAAAACCTTCTACTCTAACCCCGACCCTAACCCAATCCCTAACTGAAGCAGATGCTATAACCCCGCCCCTAATTCTAACCCTAACCCAATCCCTAACTGAAGCAGATGCTGACCCTAATGATAAATTAGACCAACTTCATTATATGATCATGTCACGTTATCGCAAATAACTCGCCAGGGGAACATTTTAACCATATGTCATGTAGGGTGATTCGGAATCAACGTTCAAAAATACGTCGAACCCTGTAGGTTTCAACTGTAGGGGGCTCTTTTAGAAAATTTTCGAAGTTCGAGTGTAGAGTGATTTAGGATTTAGTACGTTCGTTATTAAACCATTATATATTATATTACGTAGCTTTTAGTATTATAAGCTCTTATCTTGATTTCTCCAGGATTTAAACACTGATAAACTTTTTCAGGTATCACCTTGTCTGCCCGTGTTAGCAAGGCTGTTGTACAATAACGACGAGGAAATACTCACTGACACTTGTTGGGCACTATCTTATCTAAGGTACTTTCTCTTTTGATATATTTCCAATCCACCAATTTAATTAATCGAATCATATTCTTATCTGAATCATGGGAACTGTTTAAGCGGAGTGTCGAGTTAAATGAATAATTAAATTAGTGTACAGTGTACGCTGCACTGTACTCTGTACAATGTACACTGTACAATGCAGTGTACACTGCACTATACACTGTACACTGTACAGTGCAATGTACACTGTGTACACTGTGAAAATAGTTGACTTGCTTGCTAAAAAACAGACCCTCCGAGCGGAGCTATGCTACACGGAAAATTAACGTACGTTTCACACCCTCACTGTCAAATGTCAATAAAATGTACAGTACATTTGCAGTGTTGATATAGTTTGTACAATGTACAGTGCGTGTACATGTTTCCTGGGTGACCGACCCCTACTACTCAAGGTCGTTGTTTATGTAATCACCAATTTAACTGTCGCCATGGTCACCGTGTGACACTAACTAAATTATCGCCCAATCAATTGATGATTATCCAATTATCCAATCAACAGTGACGGCCCTAACGAGAAGATACAAGCAGTGATAGATGTGGGAGTGTGTAGGAGACTAGTGGAACTGTTGGTGAACCCTCAGTATAAGATAATTACACCAGCTCTAAGAACTGTCGGTTCCATCTGCACTGGAGACGACGTTCAAACTCAGGTACTGTTTACACCCCTGTTCCATGCCCAATGAACGATGAACGAGGATGGGCACGAGGATACGATTTCCATAAACTCGTCGAATATTGCCTCCAAATCCTCGCGCAAATACCCATCCTCGCGAGGGTAAATCATCATCGTGCACAATTTCCCACGAGGATGATTTCCTCGCGATGAAATTATTGGACATTTCCATCCTCGCGAGGGTATCGCGAGGGTTTTCTCTTCATCGCACGATGATGAAATTCGAATAAATCACTGATCTTTCTAAAAAGGTATGACAAAATTGGTATTGTGAAAATTCTCACAGTCTCTAAAAAACAGTGGTACAAAAATTTTTAAAATCCGAGCAAGTTTATTTTTATCGTGCACCCCCTAGTATCATCGCGAGGATCCCACGAGGATCGCACGAGGATCACCGCGAGGATATCTATCTGAAATTTCGACGAAATTATGGAAATCATATCCTCGTGTGCATCCTCGTTCACTGTTCATTGGGCATGGAACAGGGGTGTAACAGAGATATTGTTAGTTTAAACTCCGGTACTATATATTATACCGTTAACAGATACATTGTTAGTTCAAACACTGGTTCTAAATGGAAATCTTTATAATCTAGGTTCAAATAAAGTACAATTCACAAATTCATTTCTAGTCACCTCTGAGAGATGCACTTTAAAAGTTATAATTAAGTTTGCGTGAATTACCATATATATGGTTCGAGATTATAATCGATATATGCTTAAATTCTAAAATCTACTAAAATTCGCACAGAGTGCACCGCTAAGGGTGGTTCAAATTGCTCTTAAGCCACAATTAGCTCAAGGCTAAGATCGGGAAAACTCTATATTATATGTACATTGTACATAGTAACGACTGTTCTTGAAGATTTTTACGACACAAATTTAGACCAATAGCATGTCAATGAGATGGAGCTTTAATTTTCCCCAAACCTGAGCTTAAACTCTTCTTGTGGTCTCCCTATTGGTTGCTGTGTTCTGCAAGTGGTCCGGTCACGTGTCATGCGTTACCCCGGTCAGATCACGTGGTTTGCGTTATTCCAATTCCGGTCGTTTGTGGACAAAACATTAACAATTTTGAACTTGAGTTTAAACTCGAATATGGATTATGAACATTGAACATGTCCAGTTTGGTGGAAAATTAGACAAGACATTCCCACAAATGAAGCAATCCTCTCGCTAGGAACTTTATCTTCACATAAAATATAATATATTTAATATATTATTGATTATAAGTGTTGAGATGAGCTGTAAATCTGCAATATCCCAATACACACACTGTACACCACATTGAGCTGTATACAGGTGATTACACTGCAGAGTGCAGACCAATTGCCAGATCTAGAATAATTAGCACCTTGTCTACTGTCTAGTCGCCTATCACCATGTTAAAATGTCTACAACTGAGCAGTTTATGCAACCCTGCAATAAGGCAATGTGGTGTAGATGGGTGTGCAGTATTGCAACTCTTGGGGGGGGGGGGGGGGGGGGGGGGGCACTTTGTCATATGTTTACTTTTAAACGAATATTTAGCGTAAGTAGAGGAGATAACACATTTAATTGTTGAGAGTAACTTGAATTTGCATTTATGTATTTAGCTCTACTGTAGTGTATTCTGCTAAGTTAAGTTATATAAAGTCACGTCGTTTATCGTGGTTCAGTGACTATTTGTTGCTGTTACGCGGCAACCATTTACCACATACCATCTTTATTTTAAGTAGTTATTACGTAGTCAGTAAGCGTTCCAATGACACTTACAATCTTCAGGTTATATTGAACTGTTCTGCGTTACCATGTTTACTACATTTGTTAGCATCGTCAAAAGAGAACATCAGAAAGGAAGCCTGTTGGACCATTTCTAACATCACCGCCGGAAACAAATACCAAATCCAGGTAAAGAAATAGTTTACATTTTTTGCGGTTAGACAAGCCTAACAGTGTAGTAGGCTTGTAGCTACATGCGTGTTGGAATTGTTTGTGATTGAAATGCTAGGTGATGTAATAACCTAATTTTAGGACTGTACAGTATGTACAAGATGTCAATAACCTAATGAGTTAGTCACCGCATCCTAAATTACTAATCATCTCCTCTAATAAACCCTGTAAACTGTTAGATCCTAGATCTTGATTGTTGAGACTTTTCTAGTTGAGCGAGCCTGGCCTCGCTAATTCCATAATCCATTCGTCTAAGTAGTCCACTTTTAAGCCTAATTTTCCTAATTTTGTACTAAAACAGTCTTATGATCTGATTGACTGCATCCTTTACTGCATATTCCATAGTTTCTTATATAATCGACACAAATATTTATCGATAAATTGCCGTATTAAATTTGACTTTATTTATTTATCGATTTCTCCATCATATCATTACACAATACTTGTATTGCTATTATACCATTTTCAGGCAGTGATAGAAGCAGGAATAATCCCTCACTTGGTTGACATACTACAGAACAGTGAATTTAAAACAAGGAAGGAGGCAGCATGGGCTATCAGTAACGCCACTAGTGGAGGGTCTCTTGAACAAATCAAGTTAGTTCTCTTTTAGTTGCGTTCAATATACAACTTGATTTGACTTCCATTTTGTTATAAAATATACTGTATACTACACTTACATTTCCGTAACAGTAAGGTACACGTTTTGTGTACAACAGTGACTAATGTTTGTGTTGTCATATAGCGACTTGTCAGTGTGACTAATTGGTTGTCTTAAACCGCGCCGAAAATAACTTTTCGTTAGCATGTTCGTATTTAGATTATGGTTAAGCTAAAATCAACAAGCCGTTAACACGTGATATTTGTAGTGTGCGACTAAAGTTTGTATATAGTGGCAGTTACACAGTGGGCTACCATGCTAGCATAGGCCTAAAATCGACTTTCTTAAATTTCTTTGAAAATAAGCTTTCCTTATTGTAAAACGCTAGCCCGATTTCATGCAAAAAACCGTAATTAAAAACTTTGCAAGATGCCAAAATGGCGTCGCGTGAAAAAATAGCATTTTTCACTGTCAAGAAATTTTGCCTTTTTTAGCCAAAAATTGCCTAATATTTATTATTTTGGGCTAAAATGCCTGATCAAGGCAGTTTTTAATAATTGAAATACAGTATAGTACTTAAGAATACTCAGCCATCTAAAAAAAACTGTGTGACATTAACATTTTCACCTGATTTTTGACCGCGCCTTTTTTATGGCGTGTATTTTAGGCAATTTTTGGGGTATTTAACGACAGAAATCGTTGTTGGTTTGCAATAGTTCGGTATAATGCATGGTATCATCAGTAACTAGTTACTACTGCCGTTATATATATATTCATGATATTGCCTGATGGAAACGTAGTTCTATCAAGCAGCTGTCATGTCAACTTTTCCTTGGCAAGGCTTTGGAATGATCTTTCATGGGGGGTCACCCCTCCCTCCACTTACCAGCCTGTACTCCCTCCCTCCACTTAGCAGCCTGCACAGGGTACCCCTCCCTCCACTTAGCAGCCTGTACCCCCTCCCTCCAATTGGCAGCCTGCACACCCTCCCTCCACTTGGCAGCCTGCACAGTGCACCCCCTCCCTCCACTTAGCAGCCTGTACCCCTCCCTCCACTAAGGCAGCCTGCACAGTGTACCCCTCCCTCAAATTAGCAGCCTGCACACCCTCCCTCCACTTAGCAGCCTGCACCCCCTCCCTCCACTAAGGCAGCCTGCACCCCCTCCCTCCACTTAGCAGCCTGCACCCCCTCCCTCCACTTAGCAGCCTGCACAGTGTACCCCTCCCTCCAATTAGCAGCCTGTACCCCCTCCCTCCAATTGGCAGCCTGCACCCCCTCCCTCCACTTGGCAGCCTGCACAGTGCACCCCCTCCCTCCACTTAGCAGCCTGCACCCCCTCCCTCCACTAAGGCAGCCTGCACACCCTCCCTCCACTTAGCAGCCTGCACACCCTCCCTCCACTAAGGCAGCCTGCACCCCCTCCCTCCACTTAGCAGCCTGCACACCCTCCCTCCACTTAGCAGCCTGCACCCCCTCCCTCCACTAAGGCAGCCTGCACCCCCTCCCTCCACTTAGCAGCCTGCACCCCCTCCCTCCACTTAGCAGCCTGCACAGTGTACCCCTCCCTCCAATTAGCAGCCTGTACCCCCTCCCTCCAATTGGCAGCCTGCACCCCCTCCCTCCACTTAGCAGCCTGTACCCCCTCCCTCCACTAAGGCAGCCTGCACCCCCTCCCTCCACTTAGCAGCCTGCACACCCTCCCTCCACTTAGCAGCCTGCTCAGTGCACCCCTCCCTCAAATTAGCAGCCTGCACACCCTCCCTCCACTAAGGCAGCCTGCACCCCCTCCCTCCACTTAGCAGCCTGCACACCCTCCCTCCACTTAGCAGCCTGCTCAGTGTACCCCTCCCTCCACTTAGCAGTCTGCTCCCCCTCCCTCCACTTAGCAGCCTGCTCAGTGCACCCCCTCCCTTCACTTAGCACTCTGCACCCCCTCCCTCCAATTAGCAGCCTGCACAGTGCACCCCCTCCCTCCACTTAGCAGTCTGCACAGTGTACCCCTCCCTCCACTTAGCAGCCTGCACACCCTCCCTCCACTTAGCAGCCTGCACACCCTCCCTCCACTTAGCAGCCTGCACAGTGTACCCCTCCCTCCACTTAGCAGCCTGCACACCCTCCCTCCACTTAGCAGCCTGCACAGTGTACCCCTCCCTCCACTTAGCAGTCTGCTCCCCCTCCCTCCACTTAGCAGCCTGCTCAGTGCACCCCCTCCCTTCACTTAGCACTCTGCACCCCCTCCCTCCACTTAGCAGCCTGTACCCCCTCCCTCCACTTAGCAGCCTGCACAGTGTACCCCTCCCTCCACTTAGCAGTCTGCTCCCCCTCCCTCCACTTAGCAGCCTGCTCAGTGCACCCCCTCCCTTCACTTAGCACTCTGCACCCCCTCCCTCCACTTAGCAGCCTGCACCCCCTCCCTCCACTTAGCACCCTGCACCCCCTCCCTCCACTTAGCAGCCTGCACAGTGCACCCCTCCCTCCACTTAGCAGCCTGCTCAGTGTACCCCTCCCTCAAATTAGCAGCCTGCACACCCTCCCTCCACTTAGCAGTCTGCACCCCCTCCCTCCACTTAGCAGCCTGTACCCCCTCCCTCCACTTAGCAGCCTGCACAGTGTACCCCTCCCTCCACTTAGCAGTCTGCTCCCCCTCCCTCCACTTAGCAGCCTGCTCAGTGCACCCCCTCCCTTCACTTAGCACTCTGCACCCCTCCCTCCACTTAGCAGCCTGCACAGTGTACCCCTCCCTCCACTTAGCAGTCTGCTCCCCCTCCCTCCACTTAGCAGCCTGCTCAGTGCACCCCCTCCCTTCACTTAGCAGTCTGCTCCCCCTCCCTCCACTTAGCAGCCTGCTCAGTGCACCCCTCCCTCCACTTAGCAGTCTGCACCCCCTCCCTCCACTTAGCAGCCTGTACAGTGCACCTCTCCCTCCACTTAGCAGCCTGCTCAGCTCAGTGCACCCCCTCCCTTCACTTAGCAGTCTGCACCCCCTCCCTCCACTTAGCAGCCTGTACAGTGCACCCTCTCCCTCCTCTAAGGCAGCCTGCACCCCCCCCCCCTTCACTTCATCGACTAATATTTTAACGTCCTTACTTTACAGGTATCTAGTAAACCAACAGTGTATAAAGCCCTTGTGTGACCTGTTGAACGTTAACGATGGTAAGATAATCCACGTGGCTCTAGACGGACTGGACAACATTTTGAGGGCAGGACAGGAGGAATTCCAGAGTGATGCCAACCTTACCTCTAACCCTTACTGTATTCTCATCGAGGAGGGAGACGGTAAGTTATATGTTCTTAAAATACTTGAATAGGTACTTTCATGGTCATAAGGAGAGTTTGCTTGGCAAGTTAATTTATAGGCTTTTGATAACTTGATCAGTTTGCTGAGAATCGTTATTATCGAGCCAGATCCGATGAGAGCGCATTTAGATGACTTTAATTCCGGTGGATATATATTATACAGTTATTTAAGATGGCAGGCAATCGACCTTAGCTCTTCAAGATAAATGTTCTCCTTATAAAGTTATTGTTAACTGCATCTTTTTTCTATCTGGAATGGGTAGATAGATGCTCGACCTTAGCTCTTTAAGATATATGTTCTCCTTATATAGTAATTGTTAATTGTATCTCCTTTTCTAGGTCTGGAAAAGATTGAGTATCTGCAGAATCATGAGAATCAGGAAATCTACAAGAAGGCGTTTGACATTGTCGAGAAATACTTTAGCGGTGACGAAACGGATGCAGCATTGGACCCACAGATCACTGGACAACAGTACACATTTAATCCGGACATACAACAGCCACCGGGTGGTTTCACTTTCTAAAATTCCGAAGCTTCCTTAAATTATTTTTTCTAGATAATTGATAAACTAGTAAATTATTTGGGCATGATGTCTCTCTTTTTAAATTTTGTCTGATCTTTGAAACCGTTATATCTTTGCCGCTGAAATGATCAAGGCGAGCGTTATCAACTCTGGTTTTAAAGCGCTTGATTATTTTTATAAATTTGGGCTGAGAAATGTATGTATTCTGTACTATAAAAGTAAGATCCAGATAACTTACATTATCTACCATTGCGATATGAAATCGAAAATTTGGCATCCCTGCGTTCTGGGGTTTGTTTGTTATGAAAACATGAGTTGTTTTTAGCGTAAATTCCTTTAAAATCGAACATGGCATTTTTTACTGAGACCGGTGATTTCTAATAATGTAAATGGCTGAAAATTTTGTAGTCATTTTGTACGAGGAAGCCCCAGAATCTTTGCTGACTTAAGTTTGTGTTAAAATTTTATTCAGTGCATAAATTTTCCATTCTAATGTTTCAACGCATGAGTATTACTTTGTAGTGCCTTGAAGCTGATCTCTGTTCATAGTATTTGATGTCCTACAACACTGAGACTACATCGGCCATTGGAATGTATGTGATGACCGCGCCGTTAGGGGTTAGATTCAAATTTGTGGGAAATGTTCTTAACTTGAGCTAAAGTACTAGCAAAAATGAGCTCGTTTGCATATAAACTGAAGCTAATTTAGCGCAACTCTTCACGCACCGGCGCGCGCGCGCACGCAAGTTTCTTTATCTAGCTCATGGTAAGGTATGCACTTAAAATTGATGATGTAAGGTACGTGTTTTAAACTAATCATTAAACACTACAAATCTATTGTAGGTTTACAACCTACCAGGACGCGCGCCGAGTTGGACTCGTCGACGGTCCAATATATGGAACAGATATTTTACGAGTATCACCCGTTAAAAGTTACATTGAAACGTCGAGTAAACTCCTTTCCCTAATATATCAACTTAATAACACCAGAATGTGTGTGTGTCTGTCTGTGTGTCTGTCTGTGTGTAATTTCCGAACGGTTATACAAAAAAAACGGTAATAGTTACGGGACTGGTTTTTTCGGTATAGTGCCGACAAAACTTTGATGAAGCCCATAAGCAAATTTTATAAAAATCGGCCGGTGGTAAGTGGTTTAATTGATGGTTTTGTACCACAAAATATGTTACATAAAATGGCTTGAGAAGAACGGCAAGAGTTACGGGGCTAGCTCTCTCTCTCTCTGCATATGTAGCGTATATATTACATGGCGTATATATTACATGGTCATATGATACTATGAACTTATTAGGGGAGGGAGTGCTCAAACGGTCTGTTTGGACTGTAGAGAGAGTTCATACTTTCATACGACAATGTAATGCATGTTCACAAATATGATAGGCTGGTGTGGTGCAGGGTTAATTTCTATTGATTATTGATTAAGAATTACTATTTTTTAAGCATACGTGAGGGCACTCCGAATACAATTGCTCGCCTAATCCGGGTTTTGACTCAGCGGGTAATTACTCCTACCCTTTTTAACTGCGGCAGTGAAATCCCGGCCGTAGGCCGGGTTACACTAGTAAGATAATAAGAGCATTTTCACATGTCGCAACAAAAGGAATAAAAATAATTTTACACAGAATACAGTACGTTTTATAGGTTTACAACCAAGACGCTCGCTGATCTGGACTCGTCGACGGTCTTTGAAACAAATATTCTACGAGTATCACCCACTAAGGTACGTGGGCCACATTGTTGGAGCACATTGCGATTGTAGCGCGATGCACTACTGGGTCGCGCCGCGCATCAAATAATTCTTCTCGCAACCACTTCGGTAGATCGGCGAGATGCACCACTGTGCCTCACCGAGCTGCGAAGGATTGACATCGTGAATCAAACATTGCGATTGCATAAACAGATATTTGGAGGACTTCGACGCGCCGCGCGGTCGTTGATTACTTGTAGCGCGATGCACTACTGGGTCGCGCGCGCATCCAATAATGCGTCTCGCAACCACAGCAACTTAAGCAGATCGGCGAGATGCGAAGGATTGACATCGTCAATCAAGTTGATTACGTAATCAAAATTTTCTTTTTTTACCCTCTAGAATAATAACAATTTGACAATATTTTAATTGAAATTCCACTCAATTTCACTCTGAGTCTGATAGTGATAAAATTAAGAAATTGATCGAATATCCGGCTATAATAATAAGTAGTTTAAAAGGTGCTTGGCTTACCTGATTTTGGTTACCCTATTTCGGTTGGTAAACAACCAAATAGAGATTAGGCGGAATGACAGGCTGAGCAAGAAAACAACAAATTTTTCGAGAAAACAACAAATTTTTATTTAAATCAATTATAGCAACAATTTGAAAAACTTTAAAGCTCTTCTATTACCATGGAATATACTACGGGTATGGTGACTTGGGCTATTGAGTTGTTAAGTAGATCGGAAATACGCCAGGAGCTCAAGTCAACACCACTGGCAAAGTTGATGTTCCAACTAGCTGCTGAGAAAGGGGCAAGTGCTTGGTTAACAGCACTACCTTTAAAAGAGTATGGATATCTGATGAACAAACAACAGTTCTCAGACGCAATAGCACTCAGATATAACCTAAACTTAAAGGACAGCCCTAAGACATGTACGTGTGGCCAAAAGTACTCAGTAAACCATGCGCTCATCTGCAAACTCGGTGGATATGTGTCACTGCGGCACAACTCGCTGAGAGACACCTTTGCTGAACTAATGAGAACTGTGAAATGCAAGGATGTGCAGACTGAGCCAGTTCTTCTTCCAGTTGATGGTCTGAAGTTGCCTAAGGGAACAGTACTTGGAGACCAAGCTAGGCTGGACATTTCTGCAAGATCGATTTGGAATGCTTCAGAGAGGGCATATTTTGATGTAAGGGTATTTCATGCCCCAGCCCCCTCCAATGCAAGCAAATCGATCCCAGCAATGTACCAGTCCCATGAAAATGAGAAAAAGCGATGTTACAACGCAAGGGTTCTTGAAGTGGAGAAAGGAAGCTTCACACCTTTAGTGTTCTCGACTTCTGGTGGAATGGGTAGTGAGGCTGAAAGACTGGTAAAAAAGCTGGCCAGTAAGATGGAGTACCACACTGGCCAGAGGTACTCGGATGCTGTAGGTTACATCAGAAAGCGCCTTCGCTTTGAAATCCTAAGAACAACAGTGATTTCTCTCCGTGGAGACAGAGGTGCGAGAAAAAACATTGTTAATATAAACAGTCTAGATCTTAACTTGGAGCCACAAGGCCAAGGGTAATTTTTAAGTGTTTAGGGAATTTTTTATATTCTTAAAGGTTTGTTTTTATATAGTGTCATTGCTATATTATGTGTATATTGTTTGAATAATTTTATTATTAATGTTGTTAAGTAGATTAAGATTAGTAAACCTGCACTTGCATTGTATATTTTATAAAAACTAGAAATTAGGCTTCACGGTAAAATGGAGAAGCAGGCTGATCTTGGAGAGAGCAGACCGTAAAGTTTACGCACCCACCAGGGCTACCTACCTACCCCAGTTGTTCTTTTTGGTTTATCAGCTTGTATTGTTATATTTATGGACCCCAAGTCACCTCACTAAGAAGGAGTATGTAAAAAAAAAAATAATAATAATAAATTAAGTTAATATCATCATATCTGTTTAAAACAGTAAAAGTCAAGTTGAGGATTGACTTTCCTAGTTAATTTAAAGGTTCAAACGTTTGGGAATATAATAATGTTGGTATTTGTATCTGCTGCAGCAATAATATCGAAATATCATTTGTCTAGAAAATTTTCGCCACTTCAATAGATATTGGGTCGGCAATTTGGTGAGTGAGTGATGAGATGGTTTGGTCTGTGATTGAGTGAGGGGCGATGTGAAAGTTGTGGTAAGTCCAGGTGTTATTATTGTTGATGGATTGAGATCCCAGGATGATACTTTTACAGCGTAATTTAACCAAAGATACAGAAGTAGTGAGGATTTCCCCATTCTCATTTAGAATCCGTTTATGTATGCTATTCCACAATTTGGAGGCTATATAAAGAAAAGTGTTGGTTTTTCTTGGGAGGATTATGACATTGCTTGTATCACGTTTTGAATGAGTCTATAGTACAATACAACGAGTATGGAGTGCGAAATTTCATAATTCGAAATATCTCAGATATACAGTGGTATTTGTACAAGTTTTGAACAGTAAGCAATTTTAGTCGATTAAAAATGGGCTTGGTGTGCTCTTTTTCGAAAAAAGCAGCTCCTAACCTCTGTTTTGTATAAGGTCTGGCTCGTGCACAAGTGGCATGTTTGTCGAGGTATGCATTTAGGTCTCCAAAAAGGATTCTTATACAACGTTTCTGAGTTATGAACAGCTTATCGTTTGGTTGGTCTTTGAGAGCTGAGCCCCAAACACTTATTCCGTAAGCAAGATGTGATTCCAATAATGCAGAGTATATTTTTTGGTAGTGTTCCCCTGGAACTGAATGTTTAATCCTGTTAAGTGCTCCTGTAGTGGATCTAATTTTTTTTCTTAGATATTCTATATGTGGGCCCCAGCTAAGTTTTTCATCAATTACTACACCAAGAAATTTGGTGTTGCTAACCTTGACAATTTTGTGTCCATTTATAAATATTCCTTGTGATTTGTCATGTTCATTGGCATACGGCCTAACCCTGGCGCAGGTTTCATCAGATTCGTATGCAGGTAGAAAATGTATGTAGCAGCATTTAGACATATTTATATGTAAGAGATTACTTCTCATGAATTTGCATACGAAATCAAGAACTTTATTGGCCTTCAAGTATGTTGCTTCTTTGGACGGTCCAGTGATAAATATATTTGTGTCATCAGCATAGAGCACAAATTTGCATTCATCGCCTTTGTAACAGTTTATTATGTCGTTCATATAAAATAAGAAAAGTAGAGGGCCTAGTATGGAACCTTGGGGAACTCCATATTTTACATTCATAGTCACTGATGTAGTGTTGAGAAATGAAACATACTGTGATCTATCGGATAAATAGCTTTTTAGAAGTCCTAGAGCTAGACCTCTTACCCCATAATTTTCCAGTTTCCTCAGGAGAATGCCATGGTCAAGAGTGTCAAAAGCTTTGCTTAGGTCAATAAAGATTCCTAGAACATGATTACCACTGGATGTTGATGTTGTGATTGAATGAACTGATTTGTGGAGTGCATGTGAGGTTGAGTGGCCTTTTCGAAAACCAAATTGTTCATTACTGAGAATGTCATTAGCAGTGAAAAAGGTATAAAGCCGTTTGTATATTATTTTTTCAAATATTTTACCAAAGATTGGCAATATTGACACAGGTCTATAATTTTCAATATTTTCTTTATTATCTTTTTTATGGATAGGAGTTACTTTGCCTATTTTGAATATGGATGGGAACGTGCCTTTTTGAATACATGTATTATACAAATTTGCTAATATGTTGGATAAGAGATGAGCCGGTTTCTTGATAACTGCTATTGGTATATCACTGGCTTTTCCGTTAACGAATTCTTGAATTATTTCAAGAATCTCCTCAGGATGAGTTTCTTCTAGATGTATTGAACTGTTGACTGATTTCGACATAAACTCAACAAATGATTGCATTGGTTGGATAGACAGCGCGCGGCCCAGTAAGTGCTTGGCCGGATATCATAACAATGATTTCGGCTCATCATGATAGCATGATTAGGGTAGCATGAAACGTAGAGAAAAGTGTTTTCTAGGTGGGGGGGGGGGGGGGGCCATGATTACGTAATATTGCTGTCAGGAGGGGGGGGGGGGGGGGGTTGGGTCTTGATTGTAGCGCGATGCTTTACTGTGCCGCGCCGAGCTGCCATGAATTGACATCGTCAATTAAGGTCTTGATTACGGTTGATTACGGAAGGGGGGAGGGGGGTAAAAATTGCTAAAATATTGATTACGTAATATGTGAACGACCCCTTATGAACATAATAGCCTGAGGTCCCCAGGTAAACATGTATTACCGAGTTGGACTCGTCGACGGTCCTAATATTTGGAACAAATATTTTACGAGTATCACCCGTTAACTACACTATTATCGGGACCAGGTGAGCCAAAGTTAGGCCTAACTCTGCTGTCTGCGTTAGGCCTAACTGCATCTTGGTGACAGGTTTGTTATGGGGAGCCATTTTCAATCTGGTTTGCTCTTTTGATATTGCTGCAGGAGGCATGGAAATTTTGCAAGCACCTGTAACATTATTTAGTATTTGAATAACCATTTTTGCTCTCAGAGCTTGCTTGACAGGGACAGCTGCTTTTGTTTGCACGTTACTGGGCCGCGCTCAGCCTGTCATTCCGCCTAATCTCTATTCGTTTACCAACATTAAAGCCTGGGGTCCTCAGGTAAGTTTGCACGCTGCTTTATGGCTGACTGGTATTTTTTTTTCTTCTTCAGTACGAAAGGGTGGGAATGGTTTATAGATGAGGTTCATAGGGCTCTGTTGAGTAGATTCAATGGTTTGTTGAAGCATACTAGTGGCGTAACGAAGGCCCCCGCTGACCCCGCTGTGCAGGGGGGCGCCGTCTTAGGGGGGCGCCAAATCGTCGTTTGAATGTGGGACAATTTCGAAAATTTAACTGAAGTACTAGCAAAACTGCGTGTTTTGCTCTAGATACACACTTTTTTAGAGATTATACATGTATCGTTTGGTATTGCTTTATGGGTTAGTGGGTGGGGTTTTCCCACTGGGGTGGAGTGGATTATGGGTTGATTTTAATGCAGACTAGGGTTGGATAAAGGGAATTGTGGGATTCCTGGATGAGGAGACATTGTGAAAAGCCGGTTGAGTAAATAGCAATTGTAGTCGACCAGCTTGCCACAAAGGGATTTAGAGTAGTACAAGTTACAACAATCAAATAATTTGATTATGGTCAATAATACAATAATACAAGTTACGGAAGGTTGATCTATCGTAATTAGTTTAAATTTGAGTAAGAAACTTGTATTATATAATAACTATCCGATAAACCACTGAGACAAAGATACATACACAGTTAAATAGAGTTTATTAATCAATATCAATTATTTATCCACACAACAAATAATTTAAGAAGCCCCCTCCAATGCAAGCAAATCGATCCCAGCAATGTACCAGTCCCATGAAAATGAGAAAAAACGATGTTACAACGCAAGGGTTCTTGAAGTGGAGAAAGGAAGCTTCACACCTTTAGTGTTCTCGACTTCTGGTGGAATGGGTAGTGAAGCTGAAAGACTGGTAAAAAAGCTGGCCAGTAAGATGGAGTACCACACTGGCCAGAGGTACTCGGATGCTGTAGGTTACATCAGAAAGCGCCTTCGCTTTGAAATCCTAAGAACAACAGTGATTTCTCTCCGTGGAGACAGAGGTGCGAGAAAAAACATTGTTAATATAAACAGTCTAGATCTTAACTTGGAGCCACAAGGCCAAGGGTAGTTTTTGAGTGTTTAGGGAATTTTTTATATTCTTAAAGGTTTGATTTTATATAGGGTCATTGCTATATTATGTATATATTGTTTGAATAATTTTTCAATTCAATTCAATAATTTAAGAAAGAGACCAGCCAGAAGCCAGCAATCGATGTTAAGAGCTTTTAGGGAGGGGCAGTTTATGAGAGGGTGGTGGTTTAATGTGTGTTATGATTTAGAATTTCATAATCAGTTGGATCATCATCACCGGCAGCAACATCCCTTTAGGCACCTTCGTATCATCCCCCAGTGATCATTCTTTTACTCAGACATTGATTGGGGCTACAAGACTTGTTCTACATCATAAAATTATTTTTTTTATAGTAATTTAATTATAGTAATTTAACCCACAAATCAGTTCACGGTACTGCACCTGATTACCTCAAAGCACTACTGGATGTGGATGTAGTGGATAAAGAACTCTCAAACACCATGACCATGACCAGGCCGAAGAGACCTGATGACCATCTCATGCTCAAAGTACCAAAGAATAAAAGGTCCAAAGTTGATGACAGACGTTTCTCAAGCCATGCACCGATTGCATGGAACTCTCTTCCCCTGATGTTGAGATGTATTACTGATACCAACTGTTTCAAGCGAATGTTAAAGAATCATTTATATAATCAGTTCTGATGTTTTTCTTTCCATTGTCTTCACTTTGCAAGACACATTGGCTTTTATTTTTTACCGCACTCCATTTTATGCCTTGATCTCTTACTTACTTGGATCTGATTCTTTCTTGATTGATTATGTCACTGTACTTACCTTTATTATACCTACATGTACTGTATGGTTTCTGCTTCTATTTAGTTTAGTGTGGTTTACAATAAAAGATGTTTTAATTTTGTCTTTGCCTTATGCTGAGTTATACTTTAGTTCACTTTTACACTTTTGCTCACATCACTCACAGTCAGCCGCTCTGACATGGTTAACCACCTTCCTTGAATTGTGTTGTTGGTTAATCATATGAACGGGATATAAATACCTCATTTCATTTCATTTCATTTCATTTCAATGTTGGAAGTATTAAAATGCATTAACATATAACATTTAGGCATGGCAAGGAGAAATTGCTATTTTGTTCAAGATGTAAATCGTCGTAGAGTACTGTATCTCACTTTAATGAGAAGCTGGAGGGCCTCCAAAAGCATGCTATTAGGTGGATTCTTCACAAGGAGTATATGAGTTATCCACCATCCACATACATTCAAAAATGCAGACAGCTTAAGATTATGCCCATAGAAGAGCGCTTCGACTTTCTTGACCTTATTTTCTTCTTTAAAATTGTGAAGCAACATATACCTGTCACTTTACCCTCATATTTGCAACCATTTCAAGGCCACTCAAGGTTAAGAAATAGCCACATGGACCCCTTATGTTTTGTAAGCTCAATCTTACCACGAGCAAGCTCTAACGCTTTTGCTAAGAACTTTTACTTTAGGACCCATTCCAAATGGAATCATATTCCTCTAGCTATACGTGAGATAGAGACTATTTCTGAGTTCAAAGGCAATTGACCTCCTACATGTGGTATAAAATTCTGCCGGGGGACTTTGATTATGATCTAGATTATTCCCTCGAGACAGAGATGTGAGGCAGTCTACCTAAAGCTAACAATATGTTCACAAGAGCTTAAATCCCTGTTGTCTTTATTTATTATTTCTCATTTTAGTGCATATCATCACATCATGGATTTCACTTTATTATATGATTTGATTGCTTTTGATATTTTTGTGTGATTCTATTTGCAATTCTATTTAAAATTCAAGATTTTCGTGGGCCCATACTTGTGCAGGAGGTGCATTTTGCTCTCAATATCTGTGTTTTGGTGACCCTCAGGTCCTTTGATTACATACATTTTTTCCTAGAAAATCTGATTTTATCGGAGTCTTATACTTTTGAGAAAATTTAATGTTGTTCATTCATTGTGTAAATTTGTATTTAATTGATCGATTTGAAAGATTTCAATTAAAAAAAACACCTATTTGCTTTACACAGAAAGTTTGTATTAAATTAATAGTTGTGATTGATTGTACAATATTTTAAATTTAAATATGATTTGTTATTAATTTGTTCCCTTTAGATACAAATTCATATCAACGCTACTTTTAATTTATAATTAACTTTGAGCTAATCATTTTATTACAGAAGATAGAAACATGGCTGATCGTAAAGTTCTCAACAAATACTACCCGCCTGACTTTGATCCTACAAAACTCCCTCGGCTGCGTGTCAATCCTGTTAAAACTTTTGTTGTACGTATCATGGCTCCGTTCAACATGAGATGTAACACATGTGGAGAGTACATATACAAGGGAAAGAAGTTCAACTCAAAAAAGGAGGATGTTCTAGATATGGACTATTTGGGACTAAAAATCTTTCGGTTCTTTATCAAATGTACAAGGTGCTTAGCTGAGATTAGTTTTCGAACTGATCCAGAAAATACAGATTACGTCTGTGAACAGGGTGCTTCTAGAAATTTCCAAGCTCATGACTTTGCTGAAAAAGAAGAGAAAAGGATGGCTAAAGAAGAAGCAGATGATGAAGCTAATCCCATGAAAGCACTAGAGAAAAGAACAAAGGATTCTAAGAATGAAATGGACATAATTGATGCTCTTGAGGAGCTAAAGGATCTTAATGCTCGTCGTGCCAACACTGACATTGACACAATGTTGGAAGCTGTCACAAGCAAGAAAAATCCTGAGGAACTAGCTGATGAAGAGGATGCAAAGCTAGCTCGTGAAATGTTTGAACAGAAAAGGAAGAAGATAAAACGGCTTGAAACTGATGCTGATGCTGCTGAATCAGATGACCTGGATACAATATCTAATTTTTCTCTTAAAAATGCGGCAGAAATAGCCAAAATTGCACCAACTGCTCCCCCAAAGAAGTCTAGCAAACTCAGTGGATTGGTTGTTAAGAAAAAGAAGAAACTTAAAAGAGAACCTCCTACAACTAAAGCGTCAAATAAGTCCACAATCTTGAGTGATTCAGGTCAAACCACTAACAAAGATGAAATGAACGGTCAGAACTCTAATAATCATATATCACAAAGCAAGGTGGTAGCAGCCTCAACCCAATTAACCTCTGTTCAATCTTCGTCAGTTCCATCTTCAGCAGCTCAATCTTCCTCAGTTCAACCTTCTCCAAGTGGAGTTGGTATTTCATTGCTTGCAGATTACAGTTGTAGTGATTCTGATTGAAACTTTCACTGCTTAATAATGACTCTTGTCGCTGCTAATTATTTAAAATATTTTATGATAAATTAAGCAGGTTTGTTAACAAACTCATGAAAACTATAAATTCTTGAAATTAATAAATCAAAATATCTTTTTATTAAGGGTTGCATACAGAGGTTATTTTATCATTTTAGTTTGCTTAAAGCAACTAGGTACATCTTGTCTGTAAAATGGTACACTATTGTACACGTGAGTGTTGATGGTATTTAATATTTATACCTGTCGACTTTAACACGATGATCTTTTAAAACATGTCCGTTATCACTGTATCTGACACATTAAAGAATATTTCTCTGTTTTATTCGAATTGCAGTACTATCATTGCATTTATCGCTAAATAACGCAAAATGACTGCTTTTCGATAATCTTAAAAATTTAGCACGTGTACAGGATTGAATATTATAGAAACTGTGTGATAAACAATAAATATCTGCCTGGTTTTACTAGCCCTCTACTTCAGGGGTGATCAGGGTAATGTTTTCGGGGGTGAATGACCAGCGTTTCTCCCTGCGCATGTTGGAGCCCAACGAGTATTACTTTGACGACTACTCCGTTGACTTCTACCCGAAAGGCATGAGCAATGCATCTGATGATAACTTCGAAGTTGTTCAGGGAACACTCAAAGTTTGTTCTAGATCAATTGTTTTTGTGCCCTCGAACGGATATGATCCCCTGATAAGGGTTAAACAGAGAAACATCACTGATATAAAAATTTACTCGCCCTCAAACCTTTCACACCTCAAAACTAAGAAAGTAAGTTATCTGTACTAATTAGTTGATAAGTACGTAAACTGTTCAAGGTGTAATGGGATAATTACCAAACCACCGTTTAGCTGTTTGTTATTGTTATGATCAGAATATAAAGATTATGTTTGCATTTAATGCATTTATTTAACCACATATCCTAATATAACAATATGCAAATAGTCTGTACACGTATTCACATGACTATTGACTGGAGCCAAATATACACTATTCATTCGTGTATATCGTTTATATATTGTCCCTCAACGGTATCTTAAAAGGGAGGTAACATTAAACCAAAAAAGGATCAAGTCCTGTGACAAGTCATCATCAAATCTTGATTAGATTCAAAGCAACCGTGTTAATATCAAATGATCTGTTCTCCCTCTCAAATCATTTTACTCTCGTCTGTGCTCACCATGTTGATTACTCTAACACATCCCTCCCCGTATGTGAAGCTCTTATATCTAATTATAATACTCGCGTCGTGGTGATCCTGAGATCCTTTGTCGGTAGAGTCAGTAAAACCAGTGTTCTGACACCCTACTCATACTTTCAGATAGAAGGTGAGACGTTTACGTTCAGCGCCTCCCTCCACACAACGATACAGAACTCAATATCAGCCTACAAAACCCACCGAGACACTAAACTCTTCTCCTTCAGTCTACTATACGTGTCAGGGGAGAAAGTGATTCCCTTCCTCCAACAACTAAACAGAGCATCACAGCTTCATCACATTGAGCATCAGACCATGATAGCCATGATCGCACACCACAGACAGTCTCTTTACCCGTTTAAATCCATGTTTTTTGATGATCTGTATGAGAGGGAATGTGGTAATTTTGTTGTAGATATGGTGGAACCGCTGGTTAATGTTCCTGGACGGATTGTGGTATCGGAGACTAAATTATATTTCCATCCGTTTAACAATGCATTCAGTATTGCAGATATTTTGAAGTGGAAGCTGGAGTCTGTGACCCAGGTTAACAAAAGGACGTATATACTTCAGGATGTTGGTCTGGAGATTTTTGTGAAGGATACTAATTCAATGTCTAATTATTTGTTTGTTCTTGACTCTGAAAAGTCGCGAAATGAGCTTCATCAGTTTCTGTTAGACCATTGCAAGAGTAATTTAGAAGACTCAAGTCCGTCCAATATGACGCTAAAATGGCAGAATGGTGTCATCTCTAATTACGAATACCTAATGTATGTGAACAACATAGCAGACCGAACTCTTAATAACCTGTCCCAATATCCAGTATATCCGTGGATATTCACGGACTACACCAGCAACACCATCGACATCAACAACCCTGCAATCTACAGAGATTTAACGAAACCTATCGGAGCTCTGACTCCTAAACGTTTGAAGAGCATTATGGATAGGTACCATGACATGCCGGACCCTAAGTTCATGTACGGGTCCCACTACTCGACCCCTGGGTATGTTACCTATTATCTGATGAGGAGTCAACCGGATCTTATGCTTTGTCTGATGGGAGGGAAGTTCGATCACCCCTGACCGAGTATTTGCTGGGATTGCAGAGTCTTGGAACAACGTCTTGATAAATACTTCTGATTTTAAGGAGCTTACGCCACAGTTTTACGATGGAGATGGTTCCTTTCTCGAGAACAGGATGAAGATAAACTATGGTAAGAGACAGAATGGTTCTGTAGTTGGCCATGTGGAGCTGCCTCCATGGGCTGCCAACCCAAAAGACTTCATAACTAAAATGAGATCTGGTCTGGAGAGTGATCACGTGTCATCTAATCTGCACCACTGGATAGACCTTATATTCGGGTACAAACAACGTGGTGATTTTGCAGAGAAAAGTTTCAACGTTTTCCACAACTTGTGTTACCCTGGCTCAGTCGATCTTAACTCTATTTTAGATCCAAACGAGAAAAACTCGGTTGTGACACAAATTCTAGAATTCGGTCAGGTACCTCAGCAAGTCTTCACAAAGCCACACCCTGAACGTAAAATGGCAGCTCCATACCCCACTCTAACGGTCCTCAACTCGAATATCGACTCGGAGGAAATTTCCGACAACGAGGTCTCAGCTCCACCTAACTCTAACAGACGATTATCAGCTGTTGGAACTTCTCTCGACAGATTCACGTTATCGGAGAAGATTCCTGTTAAGGAACACGTGACATTCTTCGTAGAATGCAGTGAAACTAAGAGCATGTACGTAGGAACTGTCTCTGGAATGTTGTATACCTACCGACTCCCGGCGATGAAGTACGCATACAGTGTAATCGTCAGTAACGTATCTCTTATGTGCGTCATGGACCTCGGCCACTCCCTCTGTGTCGGATCTTCGGACGGGAAGTTCTACTTCCTTTCCAAGCAGCAGGGAAACGTTTACCTAGCTTTCCCGGCTCATTACGATACTGTTTCTGACATCACCATGGACAGGAGCCTCATTTTCTCCTCTTCGTGGGACTCGTCTGTGAAGGTGTGGGATGTTGTTAAAGGCCCAGGTGGGAGGGTGAAAACACTGCGGCTCTTCAACGAGATGGACCACGAGGATAGAGTTCATAATATCGGTGTTATAGAGGCTATCCTGGTGTCCTGTGTGGAGATGGCACTGATCGTTGTGTGGGATTGGGATACCATGGAGATCTTACACAACGTAGACTATTCACATCATGACATAACACAAGTTTCCATCTGGAACAGTAAGATTGTTTTAGTTGGAGTCTCCATTGTGTACCTTGATGTTCGAACGTTTACGGAGGAATTTTCAAAAATGTTTGATGCTGCCATAACTTCACATCAGATTATAAAAGACAGCAACGCTGTTGTCATTGCAGAAAGCTCTGGGAAAGTTACACTGTTTGACATGGTGGAAGGTGTAGCGAAGGGAGAGTTTACCACTGATCAGAGTGACCTCACCAGAGTTCATTATCTCAATGATGGCTTGTTACTGGTTGGTGATCAGTCTAAATATTTTGCTGTTTACAAAAATATAAGTTAATGTAAATGTTGCTTGTGTTTGTGTGTTGATAGTACTAATCTGTTTGGATTTGTGATTTTTAGTTTTCTGGCTGTGGTACAGAATGTTATATTGATACAAACATTTTTGTAGTTTGGTGTAACACTCCGAGACACGGTATTATACAATTTAAGTTGTTTTGTGAACTTGTAAAATAGTACGAGAACGTTATTTTGAATCAAATCCATAGCGGTGAATAACTAAATCGATTGATGAGATGCCATTTTTAAAAGTAATAAATTGTGTAGTATTAGCTTTATTGAGCAGTTGAACTGTTGAAGGTCAGTAGCTTAGTGTAATAGCAAATTTTGGAAAGGTTATTTTTAAGAGCTATAGTTTCTGTTTTCGATTTTTTGGTTTAAATTATATTTCGTTTTATACTTGAAGATATTTTTGTTGACGGAGTTGACCTCCAAAATATGAAGTTTACTTGAATTTTACGGCTTATCGTTCTGCAGATCTTGAAATAATTTGCGGATTCAATGTTTTAGTTTCAGCGTCGTCATTATATCCAATTTTCTTACTAATGATTTCAACAGTAAACACACTATCTTTCTTTTTTGTATGGTTAACTTCAGGTAAACATAACTTCGGCTTAATATGATTTGTGTGTTTTCCTTATTCCAAAAATAACAATATAATGACCCGAATACCTTTTCACAGCGGTATGTAGTGAAAAGGCGTCCAACAGAAACTTAATCGATGTACTAAACCTTTAACCTGGTGAGACTTATTTAATTATAACTATTTATCATAATTGATCATATCACAAGAGCTTAAAAGACTTGCAATCACTTAATTGTATAAATAAAAGAAGCATTCTCTCACCAATAAAGGAAAAACAGACAAATTTCCCGATTCACTAATTATGGAAACTCAGTTAAAAACCAGGATTAGTGTTATCAAAAAAGGAGCCTGGTGTGTTTCAACGTAACAAACCCTCCAGGAAGTAGGAACATGTCATACTCTAGAAACAAAAAGGCCTACAACGAGTACTATTTAGAACCTGATATAGTGTTTCAAGGTGTCTTAACGGTACAATATGTTATAAACTTGATTACATGATTCTAACTTGTAGCCCCCTCAATTATTATTGTGTTCATTATGATTTAACGTCGTCGAACTATTTTTTATCTGTACCTCTGATTCGAATTTTTGTGACATTTGTTCCCTATGCTGGGTAAGAGAAATAGTCGCTGTAATTATTTTAACCATGTGTAATGAATATCATGAACATGGCTGTTTTATATGAAATCAAACATATTGCCCACCATCAATATGCAATATTCAATGACAATATGCATAAGTGTAACCCTACTCTTCCATCTAAACGCTGTAACCGTACTGTACTAACGGGATTTGGGTGATTTGTATATAACAGCACACTTGTGACTTGTGAGCCGAATAATACTTGATTTGCAGGATTATTTGGGTTAATTTGGTTTCGTTCTAGAAGGCACAAGAAGCCTCGTTGATCGAGTAGGGTATTTTTTGCTGGGTGTTGTTGTATCTTCATATTATTGGGATTTCAGTTCTTAAGACAATTTCTTTACAGCCTAATTTTATAAAGCCCTTCCCGCATGAAACATATGGTCCATAGCCGACTTTACCTGAATGATGATTATAGGCCCAAGACTAAATGCATATTAACGCAAAGGACAACAACTCTTCCACTAACTTTGCATGTATATTTTACTTTCAAAACCTTCAAAATCCATGCGTTTTTGATCAGTATTTACCAGTAGGGCCTGTCGTGATATCATGGATCGCTTAGGTTCCACCAGGATCTGGTAGTCCTCATAATTCTGCGGCCTCTATGTGTCGTCATCTCGCACAACTCTTTAAGAATCTTGTGGATTTGGCATGTGAAAATTTGCAGCCTTCCAGACATAGATTGGGTTAACGAGGTGTCGTACGTCACCTCAAGATCGGGTGACAGGGGGCTGACCAGGCCAGAACCCAATTGATTGGGCCTGAGGTCACGTGATTATGAGCCTGAGGTCACGTGACTATGACGTCACCAGACCTTCCTCTCCGTTTCCCGCTCATTGGACCAGGTGAGCTTGCATGCATGTGAATGTGGGTGTAAGTATAGCTGTACTGTAGTTTATACCTAATTAAACCCCTATAGAAACCGACAATTTATTTTCTGGCAGAAAGCTAGAAATTTACCAAAATATCGTCATTGTTTTAAATTTATTTTGATGACCATTCCTGACCTAAAATCGCACGAGAAATCGATTAAACTTGGTTTCAGAACTCAACAATGCTTCCTTATGCCTCAAAATCCATGTTTTATCGATACAATCAACATATCGATCCTGTAGTTCAACTTATTACTTAAAGGGTTCAAGTATAGTTACGCGGTAGACAAACTAAAACAAAATTGTAGGTTTATAACCTACCAGGACGTGTGCCGAGTTAAGCTCGAGTCGAAGGTAATATTTGGAACAAATATTTTACGAGTATCACCCGTTAAAAACAAAACACCAGTTTAATTGTCCTTTTGTCTGAACCATATGGTTAAGTGTTAGCTGTATACAATACGTCAAAAAATCATATCAACGAATCGTATCAAAGTCCATCATCAGTTAGTAACAGAGTAGAGATCAGAGCAGAACGAAGGAACATGCTTGCTTGCGGGAATCTTTTCTGAAATATTGTCGACAGGTTAAAATCAATTGCATTTCTGTTACTTGGGTGTGGGATATAAAGCATTATATGGTTGTTAAAAGCCTACATAATACTCTTCACTTAATATGGCTAATGTTTAGCATTATTTATAATCCATTATAATGATGTGATCTGAAATTAAGTTAAGCTACAGACGTTTTTTGTGACAATACAAGAAATAATAGATGAGCTCCTACTTGTGAGCCACTTAGGAAATACAATATATCTGATTTATTGTACCTTCACTTCTTCTGCTTTTTCGTTTGCTGTCTGTGCTCTGCGACAGCAATTTGTTGCCCAGATTTCCTATCCTCCCCTACCACCTTCTTACCACAGGTTGACATAAGCGCCACTTGCCTCTCAACAGCTTGGTTGTTGTTAACAAATGCTGTTTTGAGAGGCATTCCGCAAAACCATCCAAAAGCTATACACTAATCCTACCTAATCTTACACTCAGCTCTTATGGCTATTCTACACTCATACTAGAACATTCTAAAAGATCGATTATTACGCTAAAACCCTGCTGTGTACAGCTTATTGGCCACTGTGTATGTGCTCGTAGTCATATAATATATATATGTGTGAAAAGATGCCGATAATACTTCCAGATTATTTCTCGAATAAATTCATAAATAACCTTATAAAATAAAACATTATATTAATATAAAAAGTAGTTGTCTTTTCCATTTATACTGTACCAATCGCCGACTCACTTTTAGCATTTAGCCTCACCAGCGCAACTTGAATTATATTAGAAATCGTTAACAAAATATTTTACGAAAGTAGTGAGTGGAGTTGGGTTAAAAACATATAAGAGATACGATGATTTAACTTGTAGAAGCTTTCAATAAACATTAAACATGTGTTAATCGTCTTCAGCTGAATGTGATGTGGTGGACAATGCTTATATGTGATTGAGTGGTGTCAGGGATGGAGGGTGGGGGAGGTGTGGGTGGGAAAGTGAAAATTACAGTACAATGTCAATAAAAATTTAGTCTTTAAGGATTTGGCAATTTTAGGAAGAATGGGGTCCCAGAGGGAACTACATTTGGGTGCGCGGTCTGTTCTGTTCATAGCTGGTTGTCGTATTTGTATAGCTGCGTGTTCTGTGAGGTCAAGTTGGGAGCGTGAGGTGAGGGATTTGAGGACTTCGATGTTGTTCCAGGAGATGGTGTGGCCGGTGGTCAGGGCATGATGTGCAGGGGCTGATTTGATTCTGTCTGTGGATTCGTCGATGGCGTTGTTGAGTCTGTAACAGATCCAAGGCCGTCGTCAACGAAATGGGAGTAAGTGTTCGGAGGGTCAGGACATGAGGATAAAGCTAAGGTCTCGATTTCAGCAAGGCGGATTTCAGCTAGTTCAACAATGAGGGGGGATCCCATTGTACCACCTTCGTCTTGGGAGTAGAAGGAGCCGTTGAATTCAAAGTATGAGTTGTCAAGGCAAAAGTTGATAAGGGAGCCTATGGTGGTGGTGGTGAAATTGGAGGGAAGACGAGAGGGGTTCTGTTCAAAGGAGGAGATGACAGTTTTGAGGGCTAGGCGCATGTCACAGGAGGTGTACAAGGATTGGACGTCTAAGGAGGCGTGGTAGTGGAAGGAGGGATTGAGAGAGGAGTCGAAGCGATGTTTGAAGTCGGAAGAGTCTTTGAGGCGTAAGGGGTTCTGGGCTAGGGGTTTGAGGAAAGATGCGAGGACTTTGTGGAGGGCTTGGAGGGGGGTGTTGTAGAAGCTGACTACGGGACGGATAGGTGCGCCGGGTTTGTGTATCTTAGGTTGTCCGTAAAGTTGAGGCCATCTAGGATGTAGGTTGCGTAATCTTGAGATTACGAAAGTAGATCTGCTGGATTTGCAAAGTGCTAGTAATAACCAAAGATGGTCACCTTTTTATTTCATTACATTCCCAGGTAGTAGGTTTACGAAAATTGAAATAACAGACACTTTAAAAAAGCTGCCCAACTGAAATTGCACAAATTGCAATACAACTGCCACATAACACAAGGTTTTTATACATATAAGTTTATTTAACGGGTGATACTCGTAAAATATTTGTTCCAAATATTACCTTCGACTCGAGCTTAACTCGGCACACGTCCTGGTAGGTTATAAACCTACAATTTTGTTTTAGTTTGTCTACCGCGTAACTATACTTGAACCCTTTAAGTAATAAGTTGAACTACAGGATCGATATGTTGATTGTATCGATAAAACATGGATTTTGAGGCATAAGGAAGCATTGTTGAGTTCTGAAACCAAGTTTAATCGATTTCTCGTGCGATTTTAGGTCAGGAATGGTCATCAAAATAAATTTAAAACAATGACGATATTTTGGTAAATTTCTAGCTTTCTGCCAGAAAATAAATTGTCGGTTTCTATAGGGGTTTAATTAGGTATAAACTACAGTACAGCTATACTTACACCCACATTCACATGCATGCAAGCTCACCTGGTCCAATGAGCGGGAAACGGAGAGGAAGGTCTGGTGACGTCATAGTCACGTGACCTCAGGCTCATAATCACGTGACCTCAGGCCCAATCAATTGGGTTCTGGCCTGGTCAGCCCCCTGTCACCCGATCTTGAGGTGACGTACGACACCTCGTTAACCCAATCTATGTCTGGAAGGCTGCAAATTTTCACATGCCAAATCCACAAGATTCTTAAAGAGTTGTGCGAGATGACGACACATAGAGGCCGCAGAATTATGAGGACTACCAGATCCTGGTGGAACCTAAGCGATCCATGATATCACGACAGGCCCTAATTTACCAGTCTCAATAACCGCCTCCCCCCTCTCAGTGCCAGAGGAATGTATCCAAGCACCCTCCTTCAGTGAACTTGATCCGCAGCCAATGTCAGCTAAACAGATCCACGTGTCTGCCGCACCCTACCCTCCTGCCTCAAACCTCAAACCTCGCCTGACTGAGTGTCTCAGTGCTCTGCACTGCTTACCTTATTTTATACAGGTGGGGACAAGTTAACTTAACGTTAGTAGTAACTTTGTGAGTCTCAATGAAGTTTGTACGTGTTTTCATGTGCCGTATCTTGTAACTTTTTATAGTACATATGTATAAATAGACTTTAATAGTGCACTGTAATATGATATTGATCACTTTAGTAACCTCACAATGTAGTAACATAGTAATGTATCTTAACAAATGTAGTTATATAGTAATGTATCTTAACAGTTCAGTGGTATGAATCTAACCGACATATATATTGTTAAAGAATCCTGTAGAATGTACATCTTAGCACTCTACGAATACACGCTATTTAAATACACTCAATTATTATGTAAGTTATCTAACTTATGAAAAGTAGACTAAATAATACTATAAATACATATTATTACTATAAATATATATACTATTACTATAAATGCATAATCTTTCAGTATCTAGAGTACTGTAAAAGTATACGGTTACTGCACTTCCTCTTCGCGTGTGATTCATTCAGAGAGATCGCCAACAAAGACATCCCAAACTCAGGTTTCTCGTTTCCCAACAGCCCTACCCAAACCATTAAATCAAGCCTGCAAAACGATGCGCTTGACATCTACGTGAAGTTCATCTCAATGAACGCGCCGCACCCCATAGCCCTGCCTGAAAACATCAGGATTGGTGTTGAGAACCAGATATCTACAGAGGATGGCAGTATAGATTACAGATGTTTTGACGCTGCAGTAAATCACGTGAGACACGTTTTAGGAGAATCTTTCGTACCTAAATTCCGCAGATCTTCATACTGCGCGGCGTACCAGCTGGAGGTGCTGCGCAAGAATGTGTGTTTAGCAGATATACTGCTGTGTGAAGAAAGTATAACACACTTCATGGAGTATCTGGAACAGAAGAGTCATGAGAACCATGTGCTGTTTTGGGTTTCTGTAGAGGCATTCCAGGAGCATTTGAGGCGGAGTGGGACGGAGGGAGGGTGTAAGATGGAGGATGTGGGAGATGATGCTATTGCGCTCTATGAAACTTACCTCTCTTTACAGGTTATTATTATTAATTAACTTCTAATTTAGTTTTTTATTCTTTTTGGCAGATGTGTCATGATCCCTTGAGACGAGTTTGTTTAGATTTTGAAGTTTTACACAACAACATTAACTAACTTATCACACTAACTTAAACCTCACCAGGCCAGAAAACCAGTTAACTACGGTCGTATAATACGAGGTATTGTGGAGAGCAGTATATCTCCAGACGATGGTATTATTACACCTGACGCGTTCATGATAGCACAACAATACTGTTATCATTACATGGATAAGGTTCGTTGTAATAGATGATATTGTTAATGTAAAACATCTGGATACTGGCGTGGAGCTGAACTAGACTTTGAACAACTTGTTCTACAAATGTTTTTGACACGTGATAGCAATTCACCAGTTAGCTCCCAGAATTACTGCACGTGTCAAAGCAAACATGGTTCATCTCTCAATCAGTGTCCTGTTTCCGTAGATATTAGATAATATTTCCCTATGATCCTGGATCACAGTTATCTTGCTAACAGGATATTGTACAATTAAATGTATCAGAGCATGTGTATTATATTTACAGTAATACTTGGTAACGTACACTTGCATATCCTACATTGTTCTAACATGTGCTGGAAGTGGTCCTAATTATATTAAATACAAACACGGTTCCCAATGTCCCGTGCACCTCGTTATTGAGTATCAATTTTCAGTTTTTCTTCGAAGCTTACACCAAAAGTGACCAGCTGAAAAGATATAAAAAGGAACTGACCACGGCTCTGGAAACTCGAAGAAAAGAAGAGTTCAATATAAAGAGCAATTCGAACGGTTTGTTTACTTTCCATTAACTGATATAATGTATTCCTTGCCTTCAATGTAGTGCTTGTCAATTCGATTAGATATTGCATAACTATTTAAGTGTGAGTTACGCACTCAAACGAGAATTCTGAACGCCATTTTAGTTTTACGAGGTTCCTCCTGTTTCCGTCTTTTCATGTAGATTGGATTGCGATCGAGGTTATATTTTCTAGAAGATTGCATCATCGTGATCTGGTTAAACAGGACGTCTGGTCCAAAGTGCCCCAAAAGAAAACAAACCCTTTATGTCACTTGTAGGAACGCGCGATAACTATTATTCCGTCTAAAGTTTTCATTGCTTAAGTCGTTCATGCATGCGCGTATTTATATTATTTAATTTAATTTAATTTTATTTATTTATTTATCTAATTTATCGTGTTCATTTACGAGCTACTGCCGGTCGCGCGCGCGTGGCCAGCATTAATTACATCATTATTAAATGACTCAATTAATTACATGACCGATCTCGTACACTGAACCAAACTGAAATAATTCCTTGCATTTATTATATTAATACAATTTAACTAGTCACTATATATGAATCTAAAGTGCGTCCTGTCAATTTCCGCTTCTCATTATCGAATTATTAAATAAAATCAAGTCATAAATCAAAATAAAATGACACAAACATCATCACACATCATCAAAAATATATCTACTAAAGTTTAAAAATTATCTAAAATCTATTGGCCTAAACAACCAAGTTGAAATGAATCTAATTTACATACTTTCCACTACTATATAAGTTGATAAAGCGTTTTTTAGCAACATGAGGATTACACATAAGATATTCATTGTGCTTCTCTTTATTAGTAGCATAATTTAATCCCTCAATCTTTCCTAATACTTCGTCCGAAACATACCAAAAATGACTATCATTTACAGATCCGTTTAAAATAGTCTCTTTTTTGAAAGCCTCTAATCTTATTTTAAAACTTAACACTGTCCCACAATTCTTGACATCCGAGGGGAGTTTGTTCCAATATGGTCTCACCCTCTCCGGAAGAAAAGAACTGTGGACTTTCTTCATTCTACTGCTACTTTTACTGCATCTACTGTTTGATACCACATTAAGACCAGATCTGCTCATACTGAACAAACCAGCTCCGTAATTGACCAAACCACTTATCATTTTAAAAGATTCAATGAGGTCCCCACGTATTCGACGCTCTGCCAGCGTTGTTAAATTGAGGATTTCCAGTCGACGACTGTATGGAAGAGTACCCACCTCGTCAATCAGACGGGTAAACCGCCTCTGGACGCTCTCCAGCTCCAAGATGACCCCCAACTTCCATGAAACATTTTTTTAGAACATTTGAATATAATTTGAAACATTACAGAAATGTTGTACAAATCGCTCAAACACACACACTCGGTTTTAATTCGGTAAAATTCCATTCGAAAATTAAATGATTCTCAAAATGTAGGTGTCTAATGAAAATATGATACTGTGTGACAAAGTTAAGTATGTCGTAGTGAAATAGAGTTAACTGTCGATAAATTCATGTGAGGTACTATCGAAGTTCAAAATGTTGTGATGGGTGACATGATAATGACTGATAAGAAAAAGTTTTCATGTCAACTGTGCCAAATCCATAACAGTGTGATGACTGTCAAAGTGTCTACCACTAGGTACTTGGACGAACAAGTGTACCCGAGGTGTTCTGAGAGAATAAGAGGACAGGCTCGGGAACACGAACGCGCGCTAGTCGCTAGGGCAAAAAAGTGAAATGCACAGTAAGCAAGTTAAAAAACGGATAATTAAAATGCCGTTTGGGCCAAATGCAGTGAGCCAGTAAGGTACGGTTGTAGGAGCAAGTGGCTCTGAATACTAAAACTGATGAGGCTGATGCTGAAGATGAAGACTGAAAGAGGGGGAAGCAAAGGGGAAGGACAGGATGCAGGGGGACAAGAAAAAAAGAAACAAGAGTGGAGACAAACCACCTGCTGAGGTCTGGCTAAAATCAGAATGCAGTGAGCGGCCCATGTAACATAATCGTCCGTGGCAGTCTACCCCGTACGCAGACTACGGTCCAAGATTTCAGGCGCCAGAATACACCTTTTGGTGCAGAGCTGGTCACGACCAGGGTCCTCTCGGATACCCCGTCTCGGAGGTCGGGCCAATGGAGCGATCCATTGCTGTACTGACAACCATTGTAACCCTATCACTCTGAAGGCCCCACAGTTCCTACATGGACGCACGGCCGGAAGCCCATGTAGGGACGGAAAGTCCCAAGAGTCGCTCATAGCATCCGTCACAGATCCAAAGCAAGAGGAGAAGGAAAGGAAGAACGAGAAAAGCAAAAAAGAGCTGAAGGACTACTTTCCATCTTCATCACGAAGGCTGTCTTTGTGCTTGAGGTTCAGACTGTACATTTCTCTGATGGTTGAGCATGAAAGTCTAATCAAGTTCACATCCTGCTCGTTAAGGTTACCGTAAAGATCTTGGGTACGAGAGAGAGTGTTGACAATGTTGGTCAGTCCGTTGTCATTGCTGTTTCCCAAGCTTTCACTAGCTCTGGTAAACTTGTCTCTGATAGCCTTCCCTTGTGGGCAGGAAGTGAGAAAGTGTGTTTCATCCTCTATGATCCCGGTTGATCCTTTCAGTTCACAAAAGGTGCAAGTTCTGCTCTCTAGAGGTGTGTTTTCGTATCTCCCAATTTCTATGCTGAGTCTGTGAGAACTGCACCTTATTTGAGCTGTTGATCTTCTGTCATCGAGAGTTCGTGCATAATCTAGGTAAGGCTCCCATGCAAAGACTGTTTTGACGTCCTTGTAGAAAGTGAGTTTCCTGCTCTCGTTAATCTTTGATCTCCAGGAGTCTGTAAACAGCTTTTGAAAGTTATTAACCAGCTCGTCTGGACTGCAAGCGTCTGCAAACGCAGTTGCATTGAGTAAAAGCGAAGAGTTCCTTGCATATGTTCTAGGATCAATGTTGTTAAAGCACTTGATGATGTTTTCTATTCCAGAGTACCACGAAAGATGCAAGTTTACTTGCTCAGTCATAGCAGCCTTCACCAGTTGAGACGATGGAAGACACATTATCCTTTTGAAGTATTTGACACTTAGTTTTAATACTTCGATCAGTAGTGGGTACGAACCTGTCTCACCCCATGCAGTCATGAAATGAAAGTTAATTTTCGCCGCTCTGCCAGCGTTGTTAAATTGAGGATTTCCAGTCGACGACTGTATGGAAGAGTACCCACCTCGTCAATCAGACGGGTAAACCACCTCTGGACGCTCTCCAACTCCAAGATGATCCCCCAACTTCCATGAAATGAAAGTTAATTTATCCCTCATTGAAATGAAATGAAATTATCCCTCATTTTTTTACTAACATAGAAATTCAATGTACTCAGGTACTCTTGCATAAACAGTATCTTGTGGAAAATGAGCTTATAGAATATAGATAGAAAGGATGTCTCCAGCCGTAAAAAGAATTAGGCTATTCTCTTGAGATTGAAATGTGACATTTAGGCGGCGCAAGTTGGCACTTCCTTAGTTTGATAGCTGTGAGCTACGTGACTAGCATTATCGGTCCACAAAAGGATTAGTCGTGAGTGATTCAATCAGGTATTTTCATTTAGGTGTACCGGCGTCATCCTTTTATAAGTCAATACAGCGGTATTTTCGGAATGGGTATTTCATACACGTAGAAGGAAATAAATCGTATATATGATCCGAATTTCCGATGTTAATTCTGTCCCTATTGATGGGAATACTTGGTATATCCTAAATGCAAAATTGTACACACTAAGTTAAAAATCGTCCAAATGCAAATGATTGTACCCGCTTGTAAATATAAGGTTCTCAAAAACGGTAACGAAGCAGGCTATGCGTTGTTTGCAAAAACATAAACGTTGTACTATTTCGTTAGGCAAACAAATAAAAATATGACAGATTGACAGAGCTGACAACTGTCCTTGCATCGTACAAAAAATTGTTTGTTTTGACGTTCTAATGTAATCCTCTTTTCCTTGAACCCTTCTCAAAGCTTGATGTGAGCCTACTTTTCCGAGCCGAACTATTCTATCGTGACTGATTTAGACTACCTACCTGCAACTGTAGCCTCTTTGGGTTTGATTGTCATGTGATCCATGAAATTTTCATTTGATCATGACCGCATATAATCTATAAGCCACCTACAAATATTGGACGTCCTTTGTGCATTATACTAGGTGGCTGTAGACCAAAGACTGTGTCACACCGAGACCTTTGAGCCTGGTGAAAGGTGGCTTATATTTTGGTATCCCAACTTTTAGTCTAATAGCGTGGAGAGTTAGGACCATTGGAACTGGGTATAAACGTCGTACAATGCTCAAAATTTTAGAGTCGATCATCCATATTTAATCACCTGTTTCAACTTCAGATGCTATCCAATACATGTTTTTAGTTGCACAATTTCGGCGGTTAAACTTTGTTCTAAGAAGATAGAGGCCCGATTTCTGGCGAATAATAACTGCGATTAAAGGCCCTAGATCTGATGTCATTGCAAAGAAGAAGAGAACGGTATTTAATCATCAACATGTGGAAAGTTCTGCATTGCAAGTGCCCTAATGATATTGGTATCCAGTTCTCGGCGACTCTCAGACATGGTCAAAAAGCAGTTGTGCCCAGTATAGCTAAGTCCAGCAGTCAACGTAATCAAGCACTACATGACAACTCATTTGCAGTCACTGGACCTCGATTATGGAATGTAATCCCAACACATATGCACACCATCGAGGATCCTATGCAATTCAAAGTAGCTTTAACGAACTTTGTGAAGTCATTTCCGGACGAGCCTCCAGCTCCAGGATACAGCCGTCGGAATGGAAACTCCTTGCTTGATTGGAGTGGTGATAAAACAGTTTCTACACTGTCCGGGGGGTCGACTTTTTCGATGGCCCGATAGAGGATTCTATGAAGCCCTACAAAGTAACAAAGTAAGTGACCAGACTCCAGTTGAATAGTTTCCTGTGAACATAAAAAATCGGGCGACAAAGATAGAGAATTGCAGAAAGATTGGCCTAGAACTGCTCAAAGCCCGTATTTCGTAAAGGTCGTCTTCTTTCTCACCAAGTATTGTTTTTTCTAACTACAAGGCACGATCTCTCCTTGATCTCTGCAATCAATTTTGAAATCGTTATCAGACCACAATTAATTTCTTTGCTGGATATGATCGACGCCATAGTGAGTTGCATTCCTGCTTTGTCGGTGACCGATTCAACGGCAGCTTAACTCTTTCTGGCGCAAGTATGGCCGAAAAATTCATTGTCAAAGCTAACGAGTATCTTTTAATGTCAATCAGAACAATGCTCTGCAGTCTGCATACATTTCAGACCCTCTTCTCTCTGTTCTGTTAACTAATTCTAGAGGTCTGCATCATCTCTTCCAGATGTCAGGTATTCAACATGCTCCACAGCAGATCGAGGAACAATACCTTGGATTTAGGGACCGTTAAAATATTGAGTAGGCCAGATTTTGACCTTTTTAGACCTCCCTCTAGCTCTCATCGCTGTATGCCACTTTTCACATAGCTATTTTGTAGAAACTCATTAAGCTTTTCCAAACCCCTCCCTCTTACAAAAGTAATTTCGTGGAATAAGGAACAATCTTCAAGGAATGGAATTCGACTCGCAACTTATTAGCAAAAATAAAAATTCAGAAGTTTGATCGAATTGCACGCTGTATGATTTTCCGTTGTCTTTACTAATATAAAGAACAGACCTAGATTCGAAACTGGCTTTCGGCTTGTGATTCGATCTGACGAGTTTATGGTTGCTGTGTCTGGCTATTTTATATTTCAGCCTTATTGAAAGATCAAAGAGATCTGCTGCAAAACAAATTCCTACCATGTTTTGGTTATTCATATCCGGCAATTACCGTATAGAAATATTTAGCCACTCCCCCACACACTCCCCTGATCTAACACACTGCTACTGAGCCACTCCCCCACACACTCCCTGATCTAACACACTCTACTGAGCCACTCCCCCACACACTCCCTGGTCTAACACACTGCTACTGAGCCACTCCCCCACACACTCCCTGGTCTAACACACTGCTACTGAGCCACTCCCCCACACACTCCCTGATCTAACACGCTGCTACTGAGCCACTCCCCCACACACTCCCTGACCCTCAAGCCCTCTCTGACCGAGCTACTCCTAAAGTACGCGGTCCCTCAATAGATTATAGAATGCGGTTTTTCTGCAGAATTTGTCTCCTGAAAATCGGGTGCATCTATATCCGTAATTTAATATTGTAAATATTGATACTTATATTTATCGTTATTGTTGTCTATATTTCTTATATAAACTGATGATCGTGTTCTTCATAAAGATAGGCAGTCTAAATAGTTTGTAGCCAGAAAATAGCTCAAAAATGAAAAAAGAGCTACATTTTCCAGCAGTGCGCTTCCGGAAAATAATGCAATCATTAAAAATAAGAAACGATTATATTGGTAGCAGTACTTATTACGCTCTTTAATGAGGCTTATTTAGAACCTCTGTTGAGGTCTCGACGTGGTCACAGCCAGGAATATCGGCCCAGAAACCTCTAAAAATTAAAACTCTACTCGCAGGACCAAAGCTAGTAGCTCCCTTGTATCATTTTGAGGCAATGCTCATGTTTGAACCTCACATTATACATCGTTATTCCTTCTGTCGCAGAAATGGACACAAACTGAAGCAGACTACATCCTGCCCCGATTTCTATTCCATCGTGACAGAGCCACGTTGTAACCTCACGACCTTCACTTTTTCCAGCGGTGGCCTGTCTGTTTTGTATTTGTTGCTGGCCAAGAATGGAAATCAGAGGAGGCTACGACGAAAAGGGTTCCCACCTTTTCGAATGCATCAAAAGTTCAGTGGTGCAGTAGCCCTGCCTGTTTCAATGGTAACTTGATGAAGCAGTCCGGATTCCAGATACTTGACCGTTATTGTGTCTAGCATGATTTCGGAGCTGATACAAAGCTGTTAAAGAGACGATTGTCCGCCCTCAAAATTATATCTCTACTGAAACATATTATCCTTTTAGCAAAGTATCTTATAGCTTTCACCCATGTTGAATCAACAATGTTGATGAAAGGATTACGCCATTTCTGCCGGTGCCCGGCAACAGCCTCGTGCCGCAGAACAACTAGCGGAGCTGAGGACTAGTCCCATTGAATGGTACTAGTCGCCTAGTGAATAATGCCTCTTTGTACTGAGCATAGGTCGATATAAGTACCTTAAGGCCAGAGGGGGGGGGGGGGTAAAAGTCGATTTTCCAGTTTTTACATATTCGATCAGAGCTGCTGGAGACGAACAAGAAGAAAAAACCGGACCGAAATCTGACCTTGCGTTTTTAAGATATCGCGCACCAAATATTGAGGTTTACATGTAATTACATGTAAAACTTTAACTTAAACTGTAAAAAGTTAAAACGTCCTAAGTTGAGAAGACTTGCCACACACAGAAGCTGAAACTTGGCACAGGTGTTCCTTGCGCAAAAAACCTTATGTTTTAGAATTTTGATTTTTGCCTTTGTTCTTGAAATAAGAGGTTAACAAATTGAAAAAATCTCAAAAATCACATTTTGCCATTTTGTTAACAGTCTTCTCAACTTAGGACGTTTTAACTTTTTACAGTTAAAGTTAAAGTTTTACATGTAATTACATGTAAACCTCAATAATTGGCGCGCGATATCTTAAAAACGCAAGGTCAGATTTCGGTCCGGTTTTTTTCTTCTTGTTCGTCTCCAAAAAAAAAACATCAAATATGTAAAAACTGGAAAATCGACTTTTAACCCCTCCCCCCCCCCCTGGCCTTAACCTGTTCTTAAAACGTTTGAATGAACAAGAGGGCATTTGTAAGGAGGAAGGTAGCCTTTATAAAGTCATCTTATATATATATAATTCGGCGCGATGCATATTTTTAGAACTGTTTGTAGCGATGGATGTGATCAAATGTGAAGAAGTGTTCGTATTGATGCCGTAAAAACATACAAGCACTTCCACAATTACAAATAAGGTCACGTAAAATCACTTCTACAAGTTTTAATCAATTCCTCCTTAGTGAAAGTCATAACCCATTGGTACCCTGGCAAATATCTTACTACAAAGCTGCAGTGGGCACTAATTGTTAAACGAAACAATTTTGACAGACATATTGTTATTTATTATTTGGTGCATCAAAACTACAGCTTTACAGGTTAGAGATGTGAATACTCCCCCCGTACCTGAGGGCCACAATAGATCTAGCTGTGGCTTCGTTCTTTATAACAAAGGCCCCCTGATGATCATAGTCACGTTTGGAACGCAGATGTGTTTGACCATGCGAATGGAAGAAACGAGGGCTCAAGGTTAATCGTGCTTTTATGAGGGTTGAGTAAGCTCCGCTGGGTCTAAAAGTCGGAAACAGTTGGAATAACATATGAAATACCGATGTTAGGGTAGGCGGGGTTGCCAAGGTTAACAAAAGTAGAGCGCCTCCCAGTTTCAGGGCGCCGAGTTGGGTAGCACGAATCTAGATATCCAAAAATGTAGGCGTTAGAGAATACATAGTTATAATTTTCATTCTTCGGAATTGATAAAGTTTAAAAATTGTCGTGATTTAAGCCTTTTGGTGACATCCAAAAGCTGTGATCTTTGAAACAGATAAAAATTTAATAATATCTAGTCATACCCCTCATGAGGCTTTAGGTTAAAATATTAAGTTAAAAGGTAACATTGAGTTAAACAATAAACAAACGCTATTAAAGTTAATGGCGTACGCGTAATATAGTAGTTTCATGAAATTTAGTAATAATAAAAAATAAACCTATAAATTAATAGCGTAGCAGTAATTTTATTATCTGAAGTAAATAATTTAAGGTCGGCATAAAAAGCCCTAACTCAACTAATGTCAGAATTATTAAAGCTTTTAAAAGTTTTATAAGTAATGAGTATCCTTTAAAACGGTGACTGTGACAAAGATATTATATTAAAAGGGCCCCGTTGTTACGTATCACAACCGTCTATGACTTTTATATGTGCTGGTTATGCTTTGTCTGTGGGGTTATAGACGGTCTTCGATGTCTTTTCGCCATGTCTAAGTAGAAGTGATAAATTGATAACATATAAGGTTTAATAATGCCCTTTGTTAAATGTCACTGAAAATCAGAAAATGGTTCATTTATTGCGAATTCCTGTTTTCGGCTTCGGGGCATAGACGTACCTCATTGTCTATCTGCCGTGTCTAGGGATGGCTGGTAAATTATGATTATGACATTTTATAATACCCTTTGATAACGGTGGCTGAATGGGTTTGAAATAGTTCATTTATGTTGAATCATTGTTATCGGCTGTACGGCCTAACTCTTAAGTTTACTCAAGTATAACTTCGTGATACATTTAAAAAAAAATCACTTTCTTTCGCGCATCGTCCACGTCCTTTAGCGAGAGCACGTCTTGAAGATTAAATATAGTAACACCATCTGAAAATGAAGCCTGATTAGAAACGGTAGTATACAAAGTTCGCACACATATCGTTTGGCACATTAAATATCATCTTGGCGTGACGGAGCGAGTAAAATCTGAAGAAGATACGTCTGTAATTTCTCAGTTAAAGACATAGTTTTATTTTGCAGAACTAATTGTCCTACTCTAACCCTACTAAGACTAATGATTTGGCTTCTTTTTGTCGACGCCCTTGCCAATTTGGTATTTGTTTAAGTTATGTCCCATGTTAACCAAGGTATGGTGGTTCAATAATCAATGTATGGTATCATAATTTGCAAGGATTCAAACTCCTTTGATTAACAACAAACTTTGTTTCAGTGCCCAGAGCATCCAATCGAGAAATTATTACCAAGATTGGTGCAATGTCCGTGGGAAGCCCCACGCCAGCTGCCGCACCAAGATCTCTGTCAAGTCCCTCGCCTGACTCCGTGACAAAGTCACCTAGACTGGACGTCAAGGCTCGCGATGTCGGGAGCAGTTTACCAGGAGAACAGACGCCAACCTCCTCGCATAAGTCTTCTCCTTTCAGTTCTAAAACTTCCAGTCCGCAGAGTTTCAAAAGGAAAAACGAAACGGTGCCAAAATCTTCAGTTGAAGGTGAGTGTCTGGAGTTTTAACATTATGTAAAAATGTTTTCCTGACACACATTTTGGTCATAATCATGCGATGAATTGGATACAAATTGATCTGATATATAACGGAGTGGTGTGAGAGTGGTTGCCAAATCCTGTGTTATCCAGTACTATTTATCAATAAAGTAATCAACAATCAGTGATATTACAGTCCATCTAGTTACACCTGTCGATAATAATGTTGAAAACATCTTATTTCGGCCCAAATCTTTCTGAAAATATTGTCATTTCATTGAAGTCAACTTGACGAATCACGTACTCGAGTTCGACACGTACTCGAGTTCGACAGCTAAATCAACTTTGTCGAACTTCGGTACGTGTCGAACTAGAGTCCAGGTAGCATACTTTAACACGACAAATATTTTCTGCTTGTGAACATATTGATGCCCTCTACTATTACCTTCATTTCTGGTCGAAGCAGAGATCGCCAGCTTTGAAAGAGAACCCCAATAATGATTACGAGTAAGCCCTCATTAACCCTGTCGAAGTACCTGGCCTACTTCCACCAAGACAGAATGTTTCTTCCATCACAAGTAGGCCCTCTGGCGGAACTTGGCGAGACACGGCCAATACCTACCTAGATGGCACAACGGCTTTCGGTGTCTCATGGGCTGCAGTAATCCTACCATTTGGCGCTTCATCGATGTCTTGAAGATGGAGCAAGACCTGACAGATCAACCAGAAGACGATGAGACAGCCCCCTTATCTTTATGAATTTCCCTTTCACTCAGTCACAGTTCTCTTGTAAACTTCGGTACGTCCAGATAGCGTCCTCTAGTTCAACTGAGTCGAATTTTAGGGTTTGTCGAACTACAATACGTGTCGAATCAGTTTGGTCGAATCATGCCAAATACCTGCGAGGAGTTCGAAGTTTCACTGTAATTGTTTTTAGGCCGGAGCCATGAAATCGTTCTTGTAAGGTCACTATGTGGTCTATAATAAGACTTCTCTTAATGTACGCAAGGGGATTGGTAGGAGCTTTTGGTAGGAATTTTTCCATTTTCTTGGGAAGGATAGGTTTCACGGTTAGAAGGGTGTCTAAAATGTTGCTGTGACAGTGGCACAGTTGTGTTCTCAGAGGATATAAGAGAATATCCGGGAAAATATAGTTATAGGATATGTAATATGTATAGAATAAAAAAGTAAGGGGCCAACAAATAGGACTGGGCCGGTCTTCCTTTTGAAAATTCGCTGAGGCCTTGAATCTTGACCGGATGGAAATTGTCCTGGCAGTATCCCAGGTTAGTAGCCCGATCTTGTTCTGACGCGTATTGCGCTTAGACGGTAGGTGTCAGGTAAACTGTGATGGTAAATGAACACAATGCGGTCCAGGAATGTAACGCCCACTAGGGTTCATGTTGACCCTCATCTCATAATAGTAAGAGATCCAGTCTTCAATTTTAATATGAATTGTGCTCGTTCGACAAACATTTAAAGATACTCCGTTGTCCGGGCTCACGACGTGGTAGTGTCTCCTCTCTAAAAATCACGTACCCAACTCCCAGCGAGTTTCTTAAAAAGTGAGAACTTCAAGACGTCTGAGGGAGCCGGTTCTGGGGAGGTGTTAGGGGCTGTGCTTCATCTCTTCGTTTGATCCTAGACTTGTTAATCTAAGAAAACAGGAATATTCAAACGAGATACAAATTTATCGTTAATTAAATTAGTTTCCTATTGTAGAAGATCGTCTGTAAGATATTAATTTCTTCAAGTTCAGAAGAAAAAAGGAGTAAAGATCTAGTTTATGTTATGAGGTCTCGTGAAATTGTTGTTCAAGAGATGTGGGTACACATAATTTTACTTTCGACTGTGCCAGATGACGAGTTTGTTCCTCACTCATGGTCGACGGTTTGGTCGAATCTTGAAAAGTAAATTGGCCCTAACTCTATAACTAACCACTTCAATACACTTTGTGTCGGGAAAATACAATGCCCGACAGATAAGCGCCGAAATGGCTATTAGAGGGCTGCTAGAAATGCAACCGTGGTCATCATTAGCATTGTAATGATAAAGCACGACTAATCCGCACGATTTTTGAAGATTTAAAGACTACTCAGTTTTAAAATGTCCAAATACTGTCGAGCGAGGAGCGTACGTCGCACAGCTGGGTAACGCCTAAAATGTAAAAATAACTGTCTTGAGCGTTGTGATCCAGTGTTGTGATTTTTACGCATTTTAAAATAAATTATCTTAGTACCAACGAGTGACAAGATGTTGATTGAACGCTGTTATGCATTACTTTGATCTGCTGTAACAGCTATTATAATCATAAAGAGTCATGAAGTAGCTCATGAGAAAATCACTGTCGTTAATGGCGTTGATAACTTTATAGATAAAACTCATCAGCTGTCAATAGGTGTTAATTTTAATCATTTTTTGACCCCACAGTTTTAAAATTTACATTATATCATCATTCCCCAGATCCGGATGTTGCTTCCAACGACGGTAACACCGAAGACCTGCTGGACGACTCAAAGTTTTGGACCATTCCCGACACGGACTACACGATGAGCGAAGTTGACGAGTGGGGCGTGTACTCGAGCCAGGACAAACATTTACTCAGTTCCCCGCCTCAAGGTGAGCCAGGACAAACATTTACTTAGTTCTCCTCCTCAAGGTGAGCCAGGACAAACATTTACTTAGTTCCCCGCCTCAAGGTGAGCCAGGACAATTAAACAAACATTTACTTAGTTCTCCTCCTAAAGGTGAGTCAGAACAAACATTTACTTAGTTCTCCGCCTAAAGGTGAGCCAGGACAAACATTTACTTAGTTTCCCGCCTCAAGGTGAGCCAGGACAAACATTTACTTAGTTCTCCTCCTAAAGGTGAGTCAGAACAAACATTTACTTAGTTCTCCGCCTAAAGGTGAGCAAGGACAAACATTTACTCAGTTCTCCGCCTCAAGGTGAGCCAGGACAAACATTTACTCAGTTCCCCGCCTCAAGGTTAGCCAGGACAAACATTTACTCAGTTCCCCGCCTCAAGGTGAGTCAGGACAAACATTTACCTAGTTCTCCGCCTCAAGGTGAGTCAGGACAAACATTTACTTAGTTCTCCTCCTCAAGGTGAGTCAGGACAAACATTTACTTAGTTCTCTGCCTAAAGGTGAGCCAGGACAAACATTTACTTAGTTCTCCGCCTAAAGGTGAGTCAGAACAAACATTTACTTAGTTCTCCGCCTAAAGGTGAGTCAGCTCCCCCACCCTAAAGGTGCGGCTTTAAGTTTGCCAAAGTTTCTGGAATGTACCCAGGAGAACTATTGTGCCCATACAATAGACCCCATACCTAGTAAATAATCGCATTTGTGGCTATAACAAACTACTACTTCTTTACTTCCTGCATAAATCTACCTATTGTCAGTTGCCAGTACTTTGTATGTTATTGTAATTTAATAACCATGGAGTTCTTACTACTTTAGCAGCATTACTACAACTTTGTCACTATTTAACATGTCTACTTAATACTTGTAAGTTATATCAATTACTTATAAGTTATATTGATTAATTCAACTTTTAAACCCCAAAATGTCCGTAGGATCCGAGAAAATTAGGAAATCCGTTCTGAAACTCTTCGGTAAAGAAGAAATAAGCGAAGAGGATGCTGTGGCTCAAGCTAAAAGTATTGTAGCGGATGTGATGAACCTCACCGCTCGACCACTTGATCTGAACGACTTACTTAGTCAAGATGATTAACAGTTTGTCATACTCATAAGACACTTATTCTGACACTTAAAGTAAAAGCACGATATATTCGTCTTAATCAAACGAAAACTCAGTGTTTGTCTATCAAGCTTATCTTATCTATCGTCCCTGACTTGGCTGATTTCGGCCTGAGATATCATTATGAGGATCGGCTGAAATTATGATAGTCCGGTCGCAACATACAATTGCAACTTTGGCCGGCCAAATCAGGACCAATCCAAATTTGGGCAGTATTTGTCAATCAAACTGAGCTGTTCGGATCAGTTTCAAAACTTTGTCAGACCGGGTTGTCTTACAAACGGGGGATAGTCGACAGTTTTGGAATAAGGAATAAATGATACCTGAACATTTAACGTTATTCTTGCTGAGCTTGAAAACGTATAACCTTCTCTTTTGTCACCCTTCTTATATAATAATAAGACTTCGGTCTTATAATTATATAATAATAAGACTTCGGTAATTTTCATGATTTTCGAAAGTAATTTTTGGTTATTCTCCATCCAAATTTCAAGTTATTTGATTAACAAATAAATTACAGTCTCGAATTTTTAGGAGGATTGAAAGATTCAGAAATAAAAAAATCATAACAACTGCAGTAATGACATTACCCTGAACTGAGATAAAGACATTTTAGAAATCTTAGAAATTCATGATAATTTTGCTTTGTTGCTTTTTCTACGGAATCCGTCATTCCTATTTTTTTGCACGTCAACGAGAATCGGGATTTTAATCATTCCTGCACCTCACAGTCTGAACTCACTTTCAACAGAGCATCCATACTCCATAGTTAGCCTCCAGGCCCCTTCGGCAGTAACCTTCATTATTCTTCAGATTAACAGTAACTCATTTACAGCATTCTTGACATAGGATTATGAGTTAAATTAAATGTATGATAATAGGCTCACATCAAGATTTTAATGCCGACTATATGATTTACAAAATCTTGAATTCCATGCCATTAAAGAGTGGCTTCGTTGGAATTTGCAATCGTCGAATAAATCGATAAATCGGAACATAAATCTGATTATAGATCCACAGCAAGACTTCCAGGCTATTTAATGTTATGGGAAATTGTTTGCCTACCGATACGAAAAAAACCCTGGAATTCCATGCCAGTGAAGAGTGGCTTCGCTGTAATTTGTAATTGTCTTATGTTAACCGATAATCAAAGGTAACATTTAGGGCATGTCGTCCCAGGAGAAACAAAGCTGTAGTAATTGTTGGTTTATGTCAGCCGTTAGTGGGCGGATATTGCAGTAAGGGTTCGCTCACATATTACGTAATCGCTGAGGCCAGGGGTGGGAGGGAGTTTCTAAGTGATTACGCTAGTGTAATTTTAACACAATAGCTATGTGTAAAACTGATTACATTTACGGAGGGGGGAGGAGAGGGGGTGAGAAATTTGACAACAAAATTATTACATAATATGTGAATGACCGGGGGGATCAGGTACTAAGTGCCGTAAGCTGACCCCCCCCCCCCCCCCCCCCCGGAATGACCCCTACATTTAAAAAGTGTTCTAATGTTTCAAAACGTCCTGAAAACCCTCCGAAATTTAAAAAATTATTAATTTATTGTATTGAAACAATATATTTTTAGAGGAATACTTGACCAATTTTATATTATTTGGAATGTTGACCAGTGAGCGTTGGCTGATCCGGACTGGTAGACTCGTATGACGCACAAATGACGCACAAATCGAAGATTTTCGATTGTAAATTTAGTACCTTTCGGTTTACACAAACCATAGCCGAACTACAAGACGAAATAAGTGTTGGTAATTCAATCTCTATGTAATCTTAACATTTAACTTTTGATATGGCCGGTAAATTAAAATTCCAGCCAATCGCCATACTGTGGCCAGTCAAATCAGGGCCGAGAAGATAATATGGTGTAACAATTGCGTTGTTAGTGATCTTGTGTGTATTTTGTAGCTTGTGTATAGTTCGGCTGGGAACATGTGATGGTGAACCAAATATTCTTTTAAAATATCGAACCAGGAAACCCCATAGAGCGAGTTAAGATTAAGCTCTAAAATGCTTTAATTATTAAATAACTACAGTTTCTTAGAAAATATTTGGATCACCTCCCCACAGTGACCGTCAACTACTGCTTGTAGGAAATAATTGGGCTGCGCTCCAACTACCAACTACCGGATACCATTCCATTTGGACGGCTTTCATTGATCATTTTGAAATGTAAAGCCGTGATTTAAGCTTTCTGTGTTTTTGTACGTTTTCCTAAATTAAATGTTGTTAGAGTTATTAGAGTGGAGCCTGTGAAATTAATTAACAGCATCCCGGATAGAGTTAGATCATGCGATAAATCTGTTCTTTCAACAAGTTTTTTTGTACCAATAATTAAGAGATATTTTTGAAAAGCATTTCTAAGAGTTAAAGTCGAATTACTATTAGATCATGAGTGCCTTTTCGAATATTATCTTGGAAACTATATTCCAAAACTTTTATCCCACAAATCTGCTGAATTTGGGAAAATTGCTTCAAACATTAGCCAATTTAAAAGATGTTAACAATTCAAGTGTGGAACCATTCATTTTATGTGTATAGAATAATTTTGTACGTGTATATATAATGACGAGTAAAATGTTTATAATGAAGTTAAGTGAAAGAAGTTAGTCACATAATTGTACTATGATGATTTAACGATGGCGAATGGCCGTCACGTGCGACTGCAGGCTGCTTAGTGCGATCTGTTGACTACATGGTCGCCTTTCATCCATGTAGTGCGCACGTCTCAAACGTGATTTGTGGGCCCGCTTGTGGGCAATATGATCTGCTATTTGAAGTAATCAGAGATCTTCAACTGAAGTTTCTGCCCACAATTGGCGGCCAAGATCGGGACTTAATTTTCAAGTTAGGCGAGGTTAAGAAAATGACACCTTACAGTTACACCCCACAGAGATTTTTCCATAATTGTAAATGTTGCCCATTCACCATTGCTGTGCGAGTCACGACCATGAGTTGTTCATAAAATTTACTTTTAGACTATTGAGTTAGACGGGGGTGGAATTTAACTTTTATCAAGTTAAAACATTAATTTTCGATTATGGATTTATGGTTGTTGGAATAAGATCACCAGTGATTTTTGACCTAATATCGACATTTAGTTTGAATAATATGGCTGTAACTTGATTTCAAGCAACTCTAAAATATATGTGATGTTAGTTTTTACTGAATTTTTGATGGACCGCCGAGTAAGGTGGTACGGCAGTGTAATTTTTGTTTCATTACATGTATATTATAAAGTTAGACATTTCAAACGTTATTTTGTTATGAATTAAAGAGTTTGATTTCTTCGGAAGACAAAATTTAATTTACTGTTCCCAGGGTTAATGCTCCAGCTTGAACTGACTAACTTGGAGTCTAATTTTAAAACTGATTATGTTTACAAAAATGAGACTCATTGGTTCATATGATTTCATAATTATGCTTGCAGAGGTCTGCATAATATTAATAAACTTACTTAAACCATGGTTTAGTTTTACGGGTGCCATCACCTCACAGCTATATCCACAACTTACATGCCCTGCTCTAAACGGTCCATTACTTAGATCCCCGTGTGGGTGGTGGCGTGATCTAACTCCAGGCAGAGTCTGACGGCTGTGGAGGCCACAGCTCCTAATAGAGTACTGGTGAAGATTAGGCAAGTGTTTCTTCTAACCATGTTTGGAACCCATAGTCATACGCTGATGTATCCCGATTAAAATAGCCTATTAGGTCTGCCTTTGGCGGCGGCTCTAGCCCTATTGTGTTCGTATAATCTGTTCTCAAAAGTTCGTCTGATGGCTGTCAGACGTGGTGAGGAGACGTGTGCAATAATAAAACGAAGTAAGTCTGTGGTCTCGGGTTAGAAATACAAATAACATTTCAAATACAGTAATAAATACAGTTCGCAGTGTTGCTTTTAGGAAGATTAAAAACAAGACATTTACAGTATTATTATTCATTTCATTTTAGTTCTCTCTTGAAAATGCACTAACTATAAAATCCCTGACCCGGGTAATGCCACTAAGGAACTGCTAAGTTCCATGACAAATTACAAATATCTGTACGATAATCAGAATCTCGTCCCGCCATGCCAAGCGCATAGAAAACTAAAATTGATTATGAAACTTATTAAGAAAGAAAGTTAAATATAAATTTCCAATTACCTAATAATAATTTAGCAAAATAAAGGTAAATTGGTTAGAGCTCAAGATGGGCATGCAAGGCAGTAAAAGAAAACACGGGATGGCATTAAAAAGGAGTGTTCTAGGTAAAATCACATAACTATAGTAAAACATGGAAAACGTCAGAGTAATCCTAGAACGGTTGGCAGTTTAACATTCAATAAGACTAATGCCAAGTGAGCCTAAAGTCCTATACTAGTTGTTCTACAACTAAGATCATCGAAGCGTAGACAAAAGGATATAACTTTTTTTACGGTGTTTGAGCACATATAAAATGCTTTGCCTAGAATTCTAATCAAGTTCATCAGATATGAACAGTATAAACATTTCGATTGTTATCGAACGAAACGACAAAACGGTTATACATCAAAAAATAATCTGTTCTAACGTAAAATTGTCCCAACTTAACTATGTTTAAGACTATATATCAAAACTTTTATTTTACATTGAACGTCGACTAGACAATAATATTAATCTAAAATAAGGATAATAACTCCAAATTAAGTTTAAAACATTATTAAGGTTTATACAGTCTGAGTCTCAATTCTTTACTCTTTAAATAAATAATTCTCAGTCTTCTTTGTACCACAATTGTGCTAGCCTAGAGGCTCGCATGTAGGCTCCAAATGGCTCAGCTATGCGAGCCTGGCGTTCGGGCGGCTAGATAAAATTATAATATTTTCTTGTGTTCGACTTGCAGTCTATCTGAAGAGAATCCTAAACTTGGTGTAAGTAGTTGATGAGCATCTCATCTCATACTGTAAGAACGGGTTTTGAGCGTTCCTGGCACGTGTCGCTAACGTTCGCCTTACAGCACTTGACTCTGTTCTGCAGGGGAGAAAACATTTATCACATAAAATATATCGAGGGCAGGGAGAGAAAACATTTAACAGTAATATTTATTGAGGACACTTTTATTAAAACAAGGAATTTAGGAACCATTAAATATTATATGAGCCGATTTGTGAGCTTTTCAGTTCAGTACCTATCTGTTGGTACGCTTTATACTGAGACTTCAACATATGGGTCCTGGTACTGCGGGCACGCAGCTATTACTTAATGTGAGCGCAGATTTGCCAAAAATGATGCTATGCAGTATGTGACAGAAATAACTTCTGGCGGATGAATTTATCCGAGGACTTAGTAGCGAATTATTGGTTGAAAAACTTGCCAAAATTCGGACGAAGTAGAAAGTGTCTTGAGGAATGCAATGACCCTCCTCACAGGAATTATAGGCATTTGTTATGGTGCGGTATTATAATTACACGTGCAATGGCGCGGTTTTATAAACACGTGCAATGGTGTACTTACCACGGGAACGTGATGCCAGTCACTTTCTTCTATCCTGAGCTCCACGGCCAGCTTATTGTCCGGACACAACATGGCACTGTAAGATAGCACCGTCTGGCAGTCCTCGATACACAGAACCTGTTGGAATGAGGTGGTTAGTAATCGGAATGTGGTGTTAGTACTGAGTAGATGGCCCTTACTTAGTCATTAGTGACAAATCTCCAAAACGTGGGTTGTACCAAATATCATAACTTTTATTCGATCATAAAGTTGGAGAAAGGGACTGGAAGAGGAGCCTTACCAAGTGGGATGTATCTTCTGATGGCTCTGATGGTTGGTGGGCCATTGGATGGGCCATTGGATGGTGGACAATTTTATGAGAGGTAAGATCTCGCCTAGATCGGCCTCGACCTCTTCTTTCAGCCGCTCGGGCCCTTTGCTTCTGTTCTTTCTTACTAAGAACCACTGAGTTGGAGTTGTCGTCCTGGCTTTGATCTCTGAAGGCTATTTGGAAGGCGCTGTGAACGATTTGGTGATTTTTCACCTTTTCTGAGTTTGCTCGCTGCCTTTTCTTGGCCCTCTTTTTGGCAAATTCGTCTTTCTGAAATTTGCCAACATGTCAGTCATTGGGAAAGGTGAAATAACCAATCGTGATATCTCGTGATGCAGAGCTGTCAGAGAAGATAAAATTTAGTCCGGAAACTTTAACAACCAGTTATTTGATGAATATAGCTTCTGTGTTCTGTTGAACACATATTTATGTAGGATTTGAATATAATTTTAAATTTTACGTTTCTGATGAAAATGTCTAGTTTTGCTGTGTAATATTTATGATAAGAGCAGCTGTAATCTCACCTTCATCTGTTTTTTGGACCAATGGTACATTCTCTGATTGATGGCTGACGTGACACGGGCGGCTCCACTCTGACCTTCTTTCTCCGCGATTATCTTTATCTTTCTCTTTGTTTCTGCGGAGAGTAATAGTATAGACATGTAGTCATATTCTAAGAATTATCTTCATTACACAAGTCATTGAGCGATAATAATGAGGGCATTCTTATCATACCCCGACAGCTAAAAAGTTAGTCTTCAGCGTGATGCGTGTAAGGCACAGAATTCCGATTAATGAAGAAGGGGCACGCTTAGAGACAATGCACGTTGACAGGGGCGACAATCGGCTGATGCCAGATAAGATTAATGAATATTAGAGAGTTTTCACTGCCAAGTGCCTGGCACACTGCCTGGCAGAATGATGACCTGTTTTCTCAGCACGCGTCTGGCTACTTCAAAAAAGAGGTGTATGTCAGATTGTGACCATATTTGGGTTCATGTAAGCTACATTACTGATTACTCTACTTGAACTTACCGGGGTGTGCCTCTACGTAGTCGGCAAGGTTGACCATTAGTTCGGAGCAACGGTGACCAACATATCCTCGCATGCAGCTGTGGGAGAGAAGGTCTGATTATAATTATATTGATCGGTGACGTAAAATTATCAAATTCTAATACTAATTAATATTCTCACTAGGCGTGCCATGAGGTGGCCGGGACGTGTGGTTTGAATATTCAAATACTGTGATGAGGTGGCGAGCATTTCATTATCTAATTACAGCATTCTAAACCATTGGACTCAAGTGCTCAGGGAAATACTGGATTTTAAGCGAGAAAAACTCAGGAAATGGTGGTACGGGGTAATTATCAACCTAATTTTGTGTCTGAAAAACTGAAGTGATCAGACTATAGCTATATATTGGTATCGAAATTCAGCGGTTGCAGTATTAACTTGTGGAATTATAATGTCCAGAAAAGCTAAAAGTTCATTTCTAACATAAATCTTAACAAAATCAACTTAAATATTTTTCCGGAGGTATTTATATTTATAGTAAAAGTAAAATAATAGAGCAACGATTTGCGAGACGGAGGCGCTGAGGTCCTTATTTTCAACCACCAAATTATAAATTATATTGAATTTGAAGGAGTTGCTCCTGACAATGACAATTTAATATGAATAAACTTACTAAGACTCCAATAATGCATTTCTAAGATCAATTTACCTTAACAAAATCAACTTGCATATTATTTTAGGAATTTTCACTCGGTTAAGACGAAATAATAGCATAAAGATCTGTGAGAGGCCTGATTTCTTTGTTTTCAACCACCAACTATAAATACTAACTATATATTAAGGGAGTTCTCGTGGCAATGGCATTTCATAAGGACAATTGTAAACCGTATACCAAAACTTCAAACAATTACTGCGGGAATGTCGAAATATCTATTTCTTGGGAAAAGATATGACTTGGTGAAAAACCATGGACTAAGACTTGGTCCATGGTTTTAAGTCTGTCAAGTCACCAGAAATATTTAATCAATCGAAATATTCAAACTTACATGCACATTCTAATGCCATCTGCTACTTGTCGACACTCGCCCATCTTGCAGCTGTTGTCGGTACATTTCCCTGCGTTACGCTCGTGTGTCACCGACGGGGTACTGAAAAGGGTTTCACTACACGAATAAGGATATAAGTTCAGGGGCACTTCACCGTTTTGGTGGAGTATGCACGTACCGTGGGAATTTCACTGCTGGTTACTGCAAGGCCGGCTGGGCCTGTATTATCCTGGGTATAATTACTTCTACTTAGTTACTTGTATATGCACTTAGTCTTAAGTAGGAATTTATTTGCCGACTCTTGTAAATACTTAGATAGCACTTTCTGGGTTTAGTAATCTTTGATTTTTTTGCAAAGATTTGCAAAGATTTGCATGCAAGTGCAGAACAGTATGGCCTCCCCATGAAATAGGTCGGTGAGACACCTACTCTAAAATAGGTCGGTGAGACACCTACTCTAAAATAGGTCGGTGAGACACCTACTTTCTCGGTACTGAGTAAGAAATACAACAACAACTCATCACGTTAGAAAAGCAAAAAATGCATCATCAGCACATAATTTGCTATATTTTCCGTCCAGGAAACAGCGAGAAATATTTCATTATTAATAGCCACAATCCAGTTCTATCTGTGGAAGAGAAATGTAAAAAGCAGTAAGAGAGTAAAACACTAACAGCAGTACTATCAATAAGAGATCAATCCGCATCAGTAGCCTCATGATTCAACATTTTCCATGCGTTTTTCCCTAAAGTAGATAGATAACATCACGCAGATATTATGTATGAGACATTTTTTAAAGAGTATTACGTTACTACACCAGCATTAGGGCTGCACAACAAAATTTACTACGAATACACGACACAAAATTGCAAACTATTTATCGAGGAACCTACTTTAAAATAATGATCAACTTGATCGGAAAGTTGCTATAAGTTCCCGTGACGGACACTATTTACGGCATTTCGGAATTTCATAAATGTCGAGAAATTATCGTAGTTACATAATGATATATATCGTTGCATGACTCTTTAAATCCCATTAAAAATGATCAGAGTAGCTGAGCTGAATTTATTTGGATTAAATGTTGTCGACGAGACATTGAAAGGAAATTAAAAGGTAATTGCAACTTTAACACTAAATCAAATCAGGAACCAAGGGTTCCGATCCCATTTTGAGCGCTGAAACCATAGAATATTCCGAAATATGTAGCCCCAAACCGATGCGCCATCTTCAAAAGTGATCGACCGCGTACAAAATACCTTAGTCACGTTAATTAACCCGACATATTACCATGATTGGGACTAACAGAATGTAAGATCTGTGGTATCATTACTTCGTCTAACTCTAAGTGATGCCAAAAACCCATGGTACTCAAGAGGCCACAATTAAATTAAAAATTGCCACCCTTGGCAAAGCTTAGGAATTCCATATTGCCAGACTTCGATTTGAAGCATTTTTATTTAACTTACTTTAAAAACTGATCAAATTGGTTTATTTACCGATTTATTTAACAAATTCATTTATTTAGCATGTTCTGTGAAGGATGCAGCTGAGTAAATAGTTACATATTTCAACATATTTAAACCACGTACTGAAAATAAATACCTTAAAACCAGTAGTTTCACTTCCTGTAGTACCCCTTCCTGATTACGGTAGCAGTTGTTACCGAATACCGTAATCAGGATACAGGAAGGGAAGCTAATGGTATTGATTTTTTGTATGTGCTTTGACCATTAAAATACTTATTTCTTCAGATTGAAAGTCAAACAGGCACGTCATAATGAAAGTCATAGCATGCCTGATTTTCAATCTGTCATAATCTGTAATAATCTACTTGAACGGTCAAACCACCGGTGGCTGCCCTTTAATTTTATGTAGAGCTCCTTTCAGTGCCTAGTACCTCTTCATAGGGACATTATTCTGTGCTCTTTTAGTAATCACCGCCAGAAGTTAGAACTAATTTACGATATCAGTTGTCTGCAGCCTGCAAAAAATTAAATTGCATAAACTGGGGGAAAGTGACACTTATTATGAATATGACTCTGGAGCGATCAATGTCATTTCATTAAATGGCCATTGATACGCATTTATCACAGTTCCAGCGAACCATATCATTATCGCAAAATGCAAAAAACGGGTATTTTCTTATTTATTTCGAGTAAAAACTAGCATGCCATCCTTGGTGGAGTAAAGAGTACGGTCATATGGCCAACCTCAACAAAAATAACGAGTAGACGCCTATTTTGATATCATTCCCTTATTACCTCATACTACAATGTAAATAAAAGAGCTAAGTTAAAACTTTGTTCGAGCAATCAGGCACTGAAATCCACCATGACTTGGATTATTGATCATAATCACTCAATCAGCAGATAGGAATTTTTAAAAGTGATTTCAGGAATGTGTCGAGACGTGCCTTATTATGTCGTTAAGCTTATCAGCATCTTCTTAACAATTTCACTTTCGGTCCAAATTTCTACGCGAATTCGAAAGAATGCCGAAATCTTTGAATCGTGCCGATCTTTTAAATCCAGCCTTACTTAATCTTACTTAATGGATCCTGCAAGATCGTAAACTGGTAGATTAATTGGGTACCTCAGTCGTCTGGCCTACAAGCAACTGACTTAGATGATGTCAGTTTGTTGGAATGTTTCGTGGTATGCACTGGTATTAAATTAATGACGCTGAGACCTTAAAATAGAAATTATTCACAACTGTTTGACGCATGTGAAAACGTAAAAGTTTCGACAAAGAGTTGTTTAGATTTTCTGATCGGAGACATATGATGGAGGTGTGACACGTACGTCGTACATTGCTTGAGTTTCCAATTTGTGGGATATCAGGAGATGGTAATTATGGTACGTGTTGGCCTAAACTGAATATTTTCTGCTCCACTACGATCTCAAATTTACAGCTGGGCTCGGTCAATATATCAAATAAGTTTTCCCACCAAATTAGATTTATCGGTAAAATTTGACTACAGAATATAGAGGTAATTCTAACGATATTCGAGTTGTAGCAGTATGTAGATTGTAGGTGCCATGCAAAATGTTCGCCGTCTATGATCGCCAGGGTATGAAACAGTAATTTACAGATATTATATCTCTTCTGACTTTCATCTAATTACAATAAAAAACAGCCATGATACAATGCATTTTTTCTTTTATAATTCTATCAAACTGTTTATTTCTTTATATTTAACGCCGGACACTGAGTTGCGATCGTAAATCATCATTATCTTTATAAGCTGTTGGGGGTAGTCTAGACAACGTGAAACAAGATTTTGCGTGAAACATGATTCATAAAATCATGGGCTGTGAAACAAAGAAATTTGTCATTTTCTACAACTTAATCGGTACAGACACCGAAAAAAAAACGCTGCACAAAGTTTAGGTCCTCAAACTTTATGTTGACCATGGAGAAAGGGTAAGGGCGTATAAATTGTGTCAGTCGTTTAATTCTCATGTAAAGAATGGGAAAATTTAGCAGACTACTGACTATTTAGCTGACCAGTCAAATAATACAATTTATGAGTTTTATTTTATCGTTTGAAGGCTGAAGAGTTGTTAATTGTTAATTCTTAGAAATCGTAACCACAAACTTTTCTTTGAAGGTGGATTCTTGTGCAATCCTTAACCAGGAAAATATCTAGTAAGAAAAAATATCATGAAAGCATCTTAGGTATTTTAAATACCTAACGTATCTGTGTAAGCTTTACAGGTATGTGCACATTTTTATTTGAAAGAGGTTTCGGTGTCCAGAGAAAATAGCAATTTAATTATTCGCAAATTGAAGTCCACAGCATTCCTTTTGCAATGTGTGGTTGTCGAGCAATTATCGACGGATAAAATAGACGAAAATAAAGTTGTAAAGTTTCAAAATGTCATTAGCATTAGCAAAGCATTCAGAGATCAAAAGTCATTCTTCAAATCAAAATCTCTTATCCTTAAAATAACAATCGATTTTCCCGATCACCAAAAATTTGATTTGCGATCAAAATTTCACAACCGGAAGTAATTCGTTTATGAGAAAGTTTCAGATTTAGGGCCTAATGATTATCATTAAATAATTATTGATACTTAGCAGCAATTAGGCTTCACAATCATAGCGCAGCAAAATTACTAATTTAGAACAGCAGCAGCAGCAAGATCCTCACAGCACATGCACACTAACAACTAATTTACCGATCCACGGACACGCAGCTGTGGGTGTTTTTTATTGAGTGAATTGTGATGTTCACTAGGCACCGTGATCAAATTACGACATTTATCGCAGTACAAAGAACAACGACAACGCCGTCAATGACCAGTTGAATGAGTCAGATGTACGAATTGATTTTTTCAGGAAAACAAAGAATCAGGTATTTAAGATCAGCAAAAATTACAAGCACAGCACATGAATACAGATCAGTGATGAAATGGGAGGTACCAATGAGGTAAAAATGAGGTTTAGAATGTGGAGATGAGCCATGAAATGAGGTTTGAAACTGCGCATCCGTGTCTCGGTGTTATTGAGCACTATTGTCTCACCTGGTTGGGGTGGGACCCTCGTTGAGGAGTTCATCCATGAAGGAGGCCCCCCTCTGTTTCCCCGCCTGTTGTCTCTGGTTTAGCGCTGAATCTCTTTCTTCTGTGTTTCTATGTCGTCCCCTGTTTCGCAATGTGTGGGATCCTTCTAACATACTGGAAATGTAAGGATTTGTTAGTGAGTGGTCGGATGAAACGATATAAATACCATCCAGATTGTAAGTCCATTCAGAGAGATGCCACAAAGAATTTGAGGTCACTATTACCGATTTTTAGAGGCAAATTATAAATAACTTGAAGGTTACTTCACTACTACAAAATTCACAAGTTTGTGGGCATTGTCAAGTATGATTTCGAAAATTTTGCAAGCCAGCTTGCTTATGCAAATTTTTCCTAATTATATACAGGACTAAAATTATTAAATAACGGTGTTTCGAGTCTATTTCTGGCTTAGAATTGGATCGGAAATAATTGGATGCTTGTCATTTTGAGCTCAAGTATGGCAGAGAGGTTTGAATCGTAGAATAACTTGCGGTCGAACATGATGTGGTCCGGAAGTTACGACAATTCCCAAGAAAAAAAAATTGTATCTCAAGGTCGGCCGTCAGCAAAGAAAACTCAGTAGGTAATGTTTGTAATACAAACATTAACATTTCCCAAATAATCGGGTAAGGCATATTTTATCTGACGAGATCTCTTGATGATCGGCTGTCAACCTAGTTCAGAGAAGGTTACAGTAATATAATGGCACAAACCTGTATAATAAGAGAAGAATTATTAACATATTATATCCTCAGGTGCTTTCTAAGGTTTTTCGTGTCAACCCGTTTCAACATTGTCTGCTTAGACCATTAATACCATCAGATAGCTGTGGGAAAATAAGTAAATAAAAATGGGGGTTGGTAATTATCTTGGTCGTACTCAGCAAATATAAAAGTTTCTAAGTACTGACTTTCTAAGTATTGAGTAAAGAGACAGGACAGCCTTTCAGTTTTTACCGTTAACAATTTCAACCCAACGAAAATTCTACCCCAACCAGCATACGGAAAATTACTTTAAACGTTCTAAACAGTTAAAAACGATAAACATCGACAAATTTTAAAATTGAGGTGTAAAAACTGTAAAATATTTGCCCCACGACAACTTGTCATACAAAACTACCGTATAAACTACTTAAAGCATATAAATTGACAAAGCGGGATGTAGTTGAAAAACAGACACGGGAACTTTATCTGTAATCTAATTAAAGGGTTGCCGATCAACGATACCCTATAATAAATTCGCATTATCTCGTATATTATATATATATTTATATATCCTGACTAATCATTTGCCACATACCGGGATTGCATGAAGCTCAATTGTTCATGTCACGGAAAGGAAATTAAGTTAGTAGCTAATCAGAGAAGCGTGCCCGCAAAATTCATTTCAATTGTTTAATCGGGAACTGATTTGGAGCCGTGAAACGGAGAATTGGGGATGGAGAGCGGATCTGCTGAAGAGGGGTCAAAATACCTCGTCACTTTTCTCACGAGGTAACACAAGGTAAAACAAAGCCAGCTCTCGGATCTCCATTTCAGCGAGATCACTTTGCATAAGTTTAAGGTTGATGATGATTTAACCAATCCTTGGAGAAGCAAAAATGTGCGGATAATGCCATTCGGGTCGGGATTTACGATGAAGAATTGGGAGCAGAGTTGTAGACAAGAATTTTTAAAGACTGCCGATTAAATTCACATTTACCTAATATCAGGTCAATTCATGGAATTGATCCCTCACTTATCAGCGATTTGGATAATAACATTTAAAGCCAAAGATTGCATTCTTTGGAAATGAGATGTCCTTAATTCCACAAACATAGAGCCTAAGTGGATAATTGGGAGGTTATCAGTCATTGAAGGTGATGGAGATGTCAATATAATTATTGTCACAATGCAGTTTCAGAGAGTTTCATGACCAATCTAGACGTTATGTAATGCAAAAGCTGAATGGCAGTATCCAGAAAACGTTCTGGGTCAGAGATGATATCTAATTCTAAATATCAGGATATGATAATTATAATATATGGTAACGGAAAAGATACCGAACTGATTTTACCGTCCAATGGTAAAGAGGGTAAAGAGGGGATAACTCAGTAAAAGAGGGGCGGTATGTTATTAATTCATAGAGCAATCTAAAGAGACATGAAAAGTACACATAATGATAAACGGATATCGCAAACCGGCTATCATAATCGTTGAGTACGAAGATACATATCCATTTACAGCTGATTTAGAACGAGACATAAAAACGCACAAACGATGTGACAAAGGTATCTTAATCACTTGCAAATCCCAGGGAAGGTATGTCCGTTTTAAGTGACAGCCGATGACTATAAGCAGTAACGCGGTGGGGATACATTGTATCACACTCGTCACGTGACGGCTCTAAGTGTTGCTTATATCACGACACAACGCACGTCAGTAAGACCGCGCCTCAGCACATACACCTTCCCCCCATATCTCCCTCTTGTGTGCACGCAGCTAATGTGGTCGTAACTGACCAGGTCTCCGGAGAAGGAGGGGAGGTGTGGAGTGGGCAGGAAATAATTGTTTCTCCCAATGACCTGACAGGTCCCCATATCCCACATAGTCACGTGAGAGGAGATTGTACCTGTGTTCTGCATCTTCTTTTAACACTCATTCTCCGGAGGTATTAGGTGAAAAATAACGTGTGCAATTATATGAGTTATATGGGTTGCCAAACGTTCTCGCAGACTTAAAAGAGATAAGGAAACCGTGGAAAGGAAAATGTACAGATACGAACACAGGGACCTACTTACCCTACAATTAACGCTCTGAGAAGAGGAGGAAATTTATCACAAATAATTCTAGCCAAATTCTCGTTATCATTAACAGGAGGTGAGGATTCCCGATTATGGGGGGAAGTGTGTGCCTGTTAAGATGTAACATGGCAGCTTATCAATCTTGACAGTGAATCTGACTAGAAGAACGGTTACAGTCCAGATGTGTCCTGGGGTTAAACCCCTAATAAAGGGCGAATTGTCTGATAGAACAGATCTTTGCTCACATATTACCTGTTTTAAAAGTCTGTCGTGCCTGACACAACATGTGTGGCTCCCATGTGTTATCACCACCCTCTCTCTCCGTAACATTAAGCAGCCTGATTATCGTCAGTACAGACTTGTGCACAGTCCTCCATTAAAGAGCTCCACCTAGTTTCACAGCTGCTTCACCTTGCTGTGATCATCCCGTTAAGGACATGTTAGTACCACGGTTAGGCACATGATGAAAGAGCACTACTCGTACAGTGTGTCTATGCAACGTGTCTAAGGACAAAGGCAGTGCCCAGCAAAAGCTGCGAGTGTCGTAGCGCCGCTGTCGACAGGTGACGAGAAGAATGATGAAATATTTGAGAGGGCCCAGCCTACTTCTGAGCATGGTTCTCGGACGTCAAAGCCTTAAGAGTTGAGAGTCAATAAATGAGCTACTGTAACTACTGATCTAGAAAAAATGTGGAACCGGCTGGTGGTAAATAATATGACCCAGGTCTTGGAGTGATTTATTACAGGAGATGGGTGGAGACTCGCAGACAAGATGGGTGAGTTGGAGCTCATATCGAGCATATTTCAGAACTAAGTTCAAAGCTTCTACTACAAGTACAACAAAGTCCATTCAAGGCGTAGTTCAAAGCCTTGGCAAGAACAAAGTCTAAATCTGATCAAAACAAGGAACGAGGGCAGATTAGGATGGGTATAACAAGGCCCCTTGACGTCTGACTTCAAACAAGAGACGTAAAGACAAAATCAAAGGAGGAATTTGAAAATCAGTTTGGAATGTAGGGCTGACATTTCCGGATAGAATGTAGAAGGCAATTCTCAGGAATAGCCTGGCCCGCTGCCCAATCAACGTCTTGTATCTGAAACTTCTTAGTACAGATAAGTAGCTCCGAAATTGAGTTATCCAATAGAGCAATGTACATCAAGTAGATCAGTGGAGTCTACTTTAGTCTACCTCAGCTGTAATGGACCGTGGAGAGACATTTAGTGACAAAATCAGCTATTACCTATTCCTGCTGGAATTACAGTCCGTCCAGTTATCGATAAGTATTTGGTCGGATTACCCAGCGCAAGTTCGGAGGGTGTTTAGTTTAGAATTCGTTTAAGAAGAAACAAAAAATGGATAACAATCTGGCTGGACCACATTACATTTACATTAAGGCTAGACCAATAATTTTACTGGAACCTTATCATGATTGCGCAATATAATAGTTAAAACACACAACAGCAAGTAACACATTAAACTATATAATAATGATGTAACATTAGCAAGGCGTGTTGCCGGTCTGCAGAGACATGTTGAGCGGAGTTATCTGCAGTCTTAATAGCTAATCTGGGATACAGTCTTGCCTTTACCCGAGTTAACCCGAAGGGGATGACTCCACTTTAGCATTCCATGAAGATGACCAAATGGAGCTCAATCAGGAGATCCAAGGTGGTAGTGAAAGGTAGAGGGTATCTTGAAATAGGAGGACTGTAAACCTGGTACGGTATTCGGGACTGGAAATTCAATACGGGAACTGGTGCCGAATACAGATCGTAACAAAATCAATCGGTCACTATCTGGACTGGATGTTTAATTGATGCTAACGACTTGCCCGCATGTGTTTGTTCAATTTTAAATCACAAATCAATCTTCTCCCTCTTAAGGTTAGACAAGTCATTGGTTAAGAAAGGTATGACACGAGAGTTTTGCCAAAAATCAGCAATGTAATCATCGATAAAATGAGCGATCTATGGCGCCCGAAGAAAACGAGGAACGCTAAACAGCTCAGCATCTTCAATCTTACTATTTTATATGATCCGTGGTATGGTGGCTAAACCGGCCCCTTTACACTCCAGCTAATGTAGTGGTAGCTGGGTAAAATAGTTGGTCAGTTATCAGCTATATCTGTGATGACGTGTGTTATATCAATAGCAGGACTCATTACAGTCTGGGTGGGACAGAGTCCTGAGTAGCTGATTATTGAACAAGGCAATGAGTATACTGCATGCGGGCGGAGTCTGCTCATACTGGTTACATTTCTCGAGGGCAAACATCCACCCTACCTCATACCATCCACCAGGCTGTGTCATTTAATTTTAGACAGGACAAAGATCAGGAGACCAGGTCCAGGTCTATATTACCTGGCGGGTCAGGAGACTAGGTCCGGGTCTATTACCTAGCGGATCCTCGGCTCTTTCTCGACAGTAGGCATTATTAATGACTATAATGGTAACGCGATTACCTTATCATTGAGTTTGAAAACAATAGAAATGCGATTAACGGATGGTGGGACATGAGAACTTGGAGTTCCAGTCAAGTATTTTCAGACAGAAAACTAGGTTACCAGCATGGGATTTGTAGCCTTATCTTCTGGGTAACAGTAGGGATACCTTTACATAGACTACAGGATGAATACTTCACTAAAGGACGTGAACTTCACGGGAAGGTGCCCTCCGTCTACCATACTTGGTGGGAACCTTCACTTGTCATGGAGTTAAGAAGGTAGGTCTTAGAGATAAGCGGGCGTCAGACCTCTGTCCCATGGTGCCAGATCTCTAGCCACTGACATCCGGTAATAACAGGTTTTATAGCACTGACTTTGGGTTTTTGATTTTGAGACAGAAGGGAGGGAGGATGACAGGAAGCAGCTCCCTTTCATACGTCTGGAATTTAGGTGGCACCGGATACCATTTAGTGAAGAGGTGCGAAGAATGTGGTGGTCAATTGCGAGGGTGGGCAAAAGGCCGGGTGACGGTCTTCTGTTACTGAGCGCCTCATCGATATTTAGAGACATTCGGGGGATGAGGCGAACAACTTGCAGCCGCT